TGGATCCCTGACTAATAGAGATTTCTTAATGATTTCATTAGTCATTCCAAAAATATTTTAGAACATCTACCAGATACAAGACACTGGATTGGAATCCTAGAGGATAATAAATAAAACAGCAAGCAGCTTGGCATCTTGTTGGGAAAACAAGGCATACCGCTGAAAAGTTAAATAACATGTCCAAATGCCAAGTGGACAGTGAATGCCATAGTCAATGAATGCTTTAAGATATAAAGAGGAGAGGGCCATTTGCACTGGCTTCTGTTACCAGGGCCTGCTTCAGAGGACCAAAGAGCTTACATAAAGGGGTCATCTTCTAAAACTTATGATTTTGTAAGACAGGGTCAAAACTTGAAATTTTATTTGAAGTCTCCTGATTTTTAAATGTTAGTAAGTAATTCAAATTTTCAAAACCTCCAGTGTGATCCCCACTGTGTAGGCAAGATAAAACTTGCCTGGAAGCTGAATTGAGACTGTGGGCCAATGGTGCACATTTGGTCAATGGATTACTACTGTATTGGGAGGAAAGTCAGATGCAAAGAACATTAAGATTCCTTCCAATTAGAAGGTTCTAGGGTTCTGCTCTTTCACTCATGTATGAAGCAATTGAGGTCTGGGCTTGGAACTCATGTCATTAGACTGGGCCTTCCCAGGTAATCCATGATAATCTTCCCATTTCATGGTCCTTAATTTTCATCATATCTGCAATGTTGTTGGCTGATTATAATCAGTGTTGATTATAATCAGTTGGCTGATTATAATCAATAATAAATCTGATTATAATCAATAATAAAGTGCATTGGAAGTTCTTCATGTATTAAGCCTAGATCACAGGAAGCATGGGTTTGTGCTCCACTATTCCTCTTATGACACATATATCCTCTCTTTTGAATCCCTACACCAGTCCCATGGTGCAGTGAGAAGACGGCCTGGTGCACGATGGCTGGATGTGGAGGTGGGAGGTAGGGAGGGGAGGAGTTGGGGACAATGGCCAGAGACTTAGCATCTTGGTTTGTAGACTCAGCTCTATTGTTAAAATTCAAATTGTGTTTCTGGCCCCTTCACTTAACCCCCATGGGATTTTTTTCTTTTAAAGGGTGGTTCCTTGTAACTCATACCCTCCATAATTTTAGGAAACTGGATTCCTGAGTATGGTAGGAAGAATAATGGCTCCCCAAAGATGTCAACTGTCCTAATCCCTGGAACCTGTAAATAATGTTAATTGACATGGCAAAAGGGATTTAAGGACCTTGAGCTGGGGAGATTATCATGGATTACCTGGGTGGGCCTAACTGAATCACGCCAGTTCCTAAAAGTGGAAGAGGACTGCAGGACAGTGAGTCAGAGTAATGTCACATGAGAAGGACTCCCCCACCGTGTCCCATGGTTGCTGCCTTTGAAGATGGAGGAATGGGACATGAGCCAAGAAATGTGGGTGGCTTCCGGACTTTGGGAGTGGCCCTCAATTTATAGCCAACAAGAAAATGAGGACCTCAGTCCTACAACCGCAAGGAACTGAATTCTGCCAATAACCCCAATAAGCAGGAGCCTCAACAAAGGAACGCAGCCTGTCATCACTCTCCACTTTGATTTTAGTCTGGTGACACCCATACTGGACGTCTGACCTCCAGAACTCTAAGATAACAAATTTGTGTTTTAAGCTACTAAGTTTATGGTAATACGTTATAGCGGTGACAGGAAACTAATAATACATTGAAGCTTTCAACTTAAAATGTTTGGCTGGTGTTACCAGCAATACTATTGAGTTCAGGAACCGATCAAGTGCAGAAATGATGTGGATATACTGAGTTGGAGAGACATTCACATGGCAGTGCTCAAACCACACTTGGCCATGTGGGATAGGAGTTCGGGAGGTGGTGGCAATAACTTTGAAAAAAAGTGCCTGGGAGGCCACATAGGGAAAGAGACTAGATGGAGGTGGCCAGTTTTTTTTGAGTTTTTCCAGTTCTTCTGGCTGTGTTTGGCTTCCATTCTGAGTTTATGCATGCCAAATTCCTGATGATCATAATTGAAATATATGGACTCTGTTTAAAAAGAAATCGCCAGGGAGTTATACTGAGTAAATTTTATAGGCAGATCTCAATAATTTTATTTATTGACTTCAATAGAGGACTTTAATAAATGAATAATGTTTTAAAATGTGCTCTTTGAGGGTTTCCAAAGGAAAATCTGAAAATTCTAAATGTTTTTCCTTTCTTTGTTTATGAATCTCTTTAACAATGGAAATGTTTTGTCTCCTAAGAGTGGCATGGAGCGCAAATATATGACTCACTGGAAATGACGACCACCTCTTTAGTTGTGACAAATGGGAAGTGACTTAGGAAAGGGCCCAAGAGAAACATAAGCTGATACTCAGGAAAGTGTAAGGCCTGTGGGGATATCTCTATGTTGGACCACGAGTGATGTGAAGCATCGTAATACAAGACAGAAAAAGTGAATAAATGTTAGTCACTGAGTGATTGAGTTCCTAAAAGAAAAGAAAAAATACCCCAAAGAAAAAACAGATAATAATGATTTCAAAATCTCTAGATTTAATTTACCAGATTCCCTCCCTTCATCAAGTAGATCTCTGTCTTTCCCCTTGGAAACTTCTAGGAGTCCCACAGGTTCCATGATGGAAGAAGCCAGCTCTGCCCATAGCCTGAGCTGGTCTAGTCTCTCATCTATATTTTGATCAAGTTTTAGCTCATGATTGCAAGTTCACATCCATTAGTCCTGTCCACCCAGGGATGGTGGACCAGTTTTGTGGATTTCCCAAGAAACTTCCTTCTCTGCTCTGGCTCTCTTCTTACCCTGGAGTTGCCCATTTCCTCTAATAGCTAAGAAAGAGGTGAAACTCAAATTAGCTTCTTTCCTTGTATGTATGCAGCTCTGGCCAAATGATTTATTTAGCAGTGGAGAAGGTTGGAACCATTAGTGCCTATGGTTGGCCACTGAGCGACATTGTAAAGAAGCAGTGTTAGCCTTTGTTGCCCTTCGACACCCGTCTCCATCCCTCTTCTGATACTCGATTCCTTCCCAGTGCCTTCATCCTGCTCCCTACCTTTGCTGCAGGCCTGCCCCCCTGCACTTACCCAGCCCACAATGACATTGACGAGTGTCATTCGCAGACACATGGTTGAATGCTGATTTTCTTTCTTCAGTGCTTTTCCACATTCCCAGGATGGTAGCCCTTTGCTAGATGATCATAAGAATTCAGCCAATTCAAATGAACTCAAACTAAGATGTGAATGACTAATTGCCCCTTAGTGCTCCCGAGAATATTTTTTAAATATCCCTTAAAAAGTTTACTTGACAGACTCTTTGATTGGTGGAATATTAAAGTAGCATGAGGTATATATTGAAGAACAGAGACTAAGGAAGAGGTCAATTCCAATTAAATTGGGGCACCAGAGCACCTAACCACTCTGCCTGCATTTACCTTGTTGGTTGCAGGGTAATTGGGGAACTTGAACATTCATTCAGTCCTGTTTTCAAGTAGAATTATGATTTTAATTATCCCAGAAAATAATCAGTACCATACCATCATTTGAGGAAAATAAGCTCCTGGAGGCTACCAGGTTTACCACACAATTTTAGCTTCCAAATATACTCAGTCTTTCCTATTAATTGTATCTCAAGATACCACTCTGAAAATAACTACTACTTTGTAATTAAAAGATTTTTTAAATTTATAAGAGAACACCCCATGTTGGTGAGGGCTTGGGGAAGTAACACTCCCATGAATGGCATAGGATAAATTGATTCAAGTTTTCTGTAGGGCATGTTGACAATCAAATTTCATGGAATTTCTGAAAGAAATAGCCAAGTATGTATGGAAAAACTTAGGTGAAAGGATTTATTGCAGTATTGTTTATAATGATGAAAAATTGTACAACCAAAATGCCCATTAAAAGGAAATTTGTTATATAGATAAATGGTACATCCGAGCAATGAAATGCTATGCAGCCATCCGAAATGGTGTTGTGGAAAATTGTTTAATGTTATAGAACAATTTTCAGGATATATTGTCATAAGAAAAATCATGTTATAAATATTTTTGTGTGATATGATCCTTATCATATATATACACTTATGTGTATATCTATATACATATGTAGACATACATATACAAATAGAAAAGAATATATACTAAATGTCAATGTCATTTATCTCTAGGTGGTGAAATTATAGGTAGTTTTTATTTTCTTCTTTTTTTTATCTGTAATTTCTGAAGTTTCTCCAATAAGTGTATATTATTTTGCTTTTAAGGGATCTGAGCATTTTCTCAAGATAAATAATTCAGCAGCTCTTGTAGTTTATATGCCCAGAGGTGTCTAATCTCATTTAACTCGTAAGAAAAAAAGTGACTTAATAGGTATAAAGCACGTGTTAGAGAGAAGCACAGTTAATGGAAGTTTAATTTTATGTAGACATACACATTGACTTTTACACATTTTAATGAATATTAGCCAACACCTGAAGTTCTTATTTGAAGTCATCATTTTTAGTTTGAAATGTGCTAAACCATCATATAACAAAATATATGGAACACCATCAACAGGAAATTGAAAGGATTGCTCCACTAAATATGGGTCTTTGTAGAGAATTGGTAAAAAAATGTACCGATTAAGCTATTGAAAATAATAGTAAATTAACATACTGCCCTCTTTTGGTAGCTATTTGCAACTCAATTCACATTCACTCCCATTAAAGATGTTATTCAACAAATTCATGCATAAACTAAACTAATTTTATTTTATAAAATAAATTTTATTGTGTACATTTGAAGTTTACAACATGATGTTATAGGGTACATATTAATGGTGAAGTGCTTATAATAGTGAAGCCGATTAAGATATCTATCATTTCACAGACTTTTGTGTGACAAGAACAGCTAAAATCTACTTATTTAATGAAATCCTTAATACAATACAATTTTATTGACTTTAGTTCTCATGAAACTGAATTAATTTTAAGTTACCTTTTTTCCTCCACAGAATATGCTGATAATTCCAGTTTGTCATCGCCATCTGGTAAGATGTTTTTTATGACTTTGAGGAATTTCAGGAAAACACTGTTCTGTAAGTTCTCCATGAAATGTGGCATGTAGTCAGGTACACCGAAATTGTTTTCCTCCAAGAAGCTTAATTAAATTATGTCATTAAACCTACACCTGAAAAATCAATAGCAAACATAGACAAGAGGACAGGCTTATTGACCCTTCCATATTGCTGGACAAAGCTGAGGACTAAATCACAGGGGAATAAATCATGAGTTTTCATCATGTTAACTGCTTGAGTTTGTCAGGTTTGTTTTTTTTTTAATATTATAGTTCACAAGTCTCCTGAAGAATATCAAGAACTATCATGCCAGATATTCTTATTTTTAAGGGATGAGATGTTCTCTTAAACATCCTCCCTCAGTACCCCCACGGAAAGAATTTTTCTCAAAAGAGCTTAGCAAATATGTTAAAGAGAAATTTATAACTAGAGCCCATAGTGGCAGGAACCAGGGACAGAACCCAATTTGAGACTGCTCACTGGAGCGGGACCCTAGGAATAAAGTAGTCCAGCCCTGTCCCTTAGTTGAGACAATGAAGCCTGGAGTGGCTGAGTAACTTGTCCAAGATCACACAGCTTCTTGCCCCGCATCACACAGAGGTAGCACATGGCTTCTCTGATTCCTACTTCTGTATTTTTTCTGGTACACCATATATTCCAGAACAATCTTTTATGACAAGGATTGAGTCAACTCACATTCTATCCTTAGTTGTGTGGAAATGAGCTTCTACTGTTATTAATTCATTTATTTAAATCAAATTAGTAATAATAGCTATTACTTCTCATGCACCCACTATATGTCTGGAAGTAAGTCTTTAGACATCTTCTTATTCTGCTATCTATCTTTTTTTTTTTTTTTTGAGACAGAGTCTGGCTCTGTTGCCCTGGCTAGAGTGCTGTGGTGTCAGCCTAGCTCACAGCAACCTCAAACTCCTGGGCTCAATGCTCCTCCTGCCTCAGCCTCCTGAGTAGCTGGTACTACAGGGATGTGCCACCATGCCCAGCTAATTTTTTCTATATATTTTTTTAACTGTCCAGCTAATTTCTTTCTATTTTTTTTAGTAGAGACAGGGTCTTGCTCTTGCTCACACTGGTCTCAAACTCCTGACCTTGAGCAGTCCTCCAGCCTCAGCCTCCCAGAGTGCTAGGATTACAGGCACGAGCCACCGCACTTGGCCTCGCCTCTCAATCTTACATCATAGGACTCATTATATTTATGTTATAGACGAGGAAACTGAGGCTCAGAGAGGATAAAACTCGCTCATGTTCAATACATTCTCTGGAACCAGACTACTTGCGTTGAATTTGGCCACCACCCTTCTATCCCCATTGCTAGCTGTGTGATTTGGGGCAAGTTCCTTAACCTCTCTGTGCCTCAGTTTCCTCATCTGTAAATTGGGGAGAATAATAATACCTGCTTGTCAGGTAGTTGTGAAGATGAAATGAGATTAACGTATGTGCCTGGCACAGAGTAAACTCTCTATAAATAATAAATCTTATTAACTATTATTATTATGAGTTATTAAGTAATGGGGCAAAGATTCAAACCCAGGACTGCAAGCCTCCAAAGCTCAAGCTCATTTTACCTCATCAGTTTGCCCTCTAGTTGTTAAGCTTCCAAGGCACAATGAGCCACTGTATTTTTCTTCCGATAGAGTAGCCTTCAGCAAACTTAATCATGGTGATACCTGCAAAATCTTGTTTGCCTGGAATGGGGAATAGTTCTAGTCACAGCTTGGGTTCTGGGTGAAGAATTAATAGCCATCAATTAAAAACCAGCTTTGGCCTATTTATTTTGTTCTGCCCCAAGAATAAAGGATTCTATATCCACACTTTGAATCTTATTGCTCAGAAATTGTCTTACTTCCCAAGAAATATCCTTGGTAATTTAAAAAATAAATCAATGTAGTAAATGACAAAGTATGAAAGCAATAATGTCGACAGACAGGGTGTGTGTTTCAGCCAACACAGAAACGATCTAAAACAGACGGGCTAGCCAAGTGCCTTGACACACCCAGATTTTGTCCATACCGGCTGAAAATCAGGCTGCCTACTGCAAAACTTACTTGAGCTGTAAAATGTTTGTGTTTACTTTTCCCAGGTTTAGGTAGAGGTCAAGCCATTGGATCTTTTTAATATTTAAACATGCAAAATGTGTGTAGTAGTAGGCTGACTTCTTAGCGTAAGTGGAGTCATTCCACAGGAAATTTATACGTTGATTGATTGTGTTAATAGCAGCCATATTTTAAAATAACTTACCAGGAAATTGTATTAGCCCAATATCGAGTAATAGCAATATTCTTAATCTTAAATTCACTGTGGGAAGCGTTGCCAGGCATCACTATAACAGAATGAAGGCAACATGCCCACATATTTCATGATTGTGTTAAATAGTTCAAAAGTTATTTAAAATGTTTTCTAGACCTCTCTGGCTGAAAAATTCTAGAAGTAGTATTTCTTGTATTTTGGTATGTTTCCTAAACTTGTTTCCATACTATTCCATAGTTGGTAGTAGGCTTTGAGAATAGAGGTCTCAGGTTCCTTATCTTGAGTTCTTTCTCTACAATTCTCTGATGAAATGTCTGCTCACTGAGTGATTATGAAACTTGCAGATTTAACTACATCTTGGTCTGCTAGTATGTTTTCTACTTCTTCATAATTGTATTTCAAAAGTTCTAACTCCTTAACATTTAATAAACAATTGCTTCAAAGTATTTATTTAAATTTTTTTTTCTCCTGCAGCTGAACCATCTCTTGTCCGTTTTGTCCCCTACTCCAATGGTACTCCAGGCAAGATTTTGAAAAAATTTAAACCTAGATTTAGCCCAATTTGTTAAGTTTCTTGTTTTAATTATACCTTTGTATTGTTTTTCTCCTTGGGACAAAAAGAGGTTGAAACGACAAGCCTCAATGGTAAGAATTTTTCTGAAGCAAGTGAAAATTGATAACCCTTAATATGAATCTAAGTATAATGAATGGTTTCCATTTCTAAATTATTTCTGAATGCATTGAGTAGTTTCAAATAACTAAAAAACAAAAACTTAAAAACAAAACTTGTCAACCCTGGAGAGTAACCTAAACTTTCTACTTTCGGGTTAAATGATAAAATTCTTATGATCATGAAGGTCCTCGAGGCCTCCACCACTCCAACTGTTCTAGAAAAGAAATCTCAGTCACATTTTGAACACTCCATCTCCCTTGCTCTCCAACACAATGCCAACAAGTTTTACATGACAGATTGTTTAAAAGTGAAAAGCACGTCCAGTGACTTCAATATGATTCAGCATGCATTTGGAGGCACAGCGAGTTCAAAGACAGCCTTTTTACAGATGAATTGATCAATTTTTAAATAGTGTGAAATGGAAAAAAATGGCTTCCTCCTCATGCTAGAGAAAAAGGCAAAAAAGTGGGCTGTATTCGAGGGAGGTGGGCAGGACAGCACATTCTATTCTCTCCCCTCTCTGAGTAGGCAGTCTTCCATCTTATTGTGGCCAAACCCCAACACTTTTCACAGGCCCTAGTTAAAATCAAATCTCACCATGTGGTTGGTGGCTAAGGATCTAAACAATCATAGCTGCAACTCAGACTGATCGAAACTGGTTTAAATTCATATTTGGCCCTATGGAAAGGGCCAAAAGTTATCACTTTGATATACAATTACTTTTTACAGTGAAAAAAATATCTTCAATTTAGTGTGTGTGTGTGTGTGTGTGTGTGTGTGTGTGTGTGTTTGTGTTTTAAGTGTGATAATGTAATACATGCCTTTTGGGTGTTTTCCCAAAATTTCATCCAGAATAATAAATTCTAGAATGATTTTCATTTAAAGAAATACCAATAGATTTCAAATTGGATTTTAAATCAAACAGGATCAAAATGACATTTTTCTGAAAGTTAGTTGAATATAATGTTCAAGAACTCCAAATTTAAACTAGAATGATTTAAAATTACTTCGCAAGAATGCACTGCTGGTAAAGATGTATTGTGTATCCACAGGGCTATCTATTAAAGTCAATATGGACTTTGGAAATATCATATCCCTTAGGGACTTTCATTATAATAGAAAAAAAGGAGACAAAGTATTAAACGACATAAATGGGTTTATTTAAATCTAACGATTATAGGAATGTCGCCATGTGTTACATACAGAACTTGCATTTAGGAAACACACTTTAAATTAATGAGCGTTTGCTCAGGAATTGTCTCTCAGCTTGGAGACTGGATAGTGATGAGAGGATGTGCAGCAATGATATTGAGTAGTGTCATCTGGCTTTTGCAAAACTCTCAAACATCTCCCGGATTTGGGCAAAAGGAAAATGTTTAACGAACCTAGGAAGACACACATGTTTGTGAACCATGCCAGTAGTTAACGCTAATTTGTATTATTTTATTTCAGATGCTACTTCAAGCGTATTATCTACTTTAAACAAAACAGGTAACATCAAGTGATTTCTAAATGTAATGGCTTCTCTTCTGTGGCCTCTTGAATTTCTCACTTGTGTGGTCTACGGGTTACTAAGTTCCTTTGTCTCCTTGCCCACTTTCCTGTGCCTTCAACGATTTATTCTGTTGTCACCATGTTCCCAAACTTCCAAACTATTATGGCCCTAGCAGTCCATTTAAAATAACATTTATTCTTTTCTTAATTATAATAGTGATACATATTAGCTCATGAAAAATGGAGAATATAGAGAAATACAAAGAAGAACATAGAAATCATCTTTAATGTTACTTTCCTAAGATTTTTGCTATTAATATTTGGTATATTTTGATTCAGTATCACATATACATATATTTATATACATATGCTTTATGTATGCATCCTTTGCAAAATGTCATCATTTACATAGATTTTTATGTTTTGCTCTTTTGACTTAATATTAAATTGGAAGTATTTTCCAGTGTCCCTTATTATTAATGACTTTGTAATATTTCATTGTGTACCATATGTTCGACATTAAAGTTGTTTCTATGTTTTTAATAGAAATTGTTGTGATGAACATCCTGGTGCCAACATCTTTGCATTTTATCCCTAATTTCTATAGGATACATTCCAAGGACTGGATATAATGGGTCAGCAGTATGAATATTTTAAGGCCCTTGATACCTACTGCCCAATTACCTTCTAGAAAGGTTGTACCCAGCAATGTACCTGTCAGCAGTGGATGAGAATGTCTGTGTCACTGTCCCATTGCTGAGACTATGTTGTATACTATTAAATCTTCCTCTCCATTCCTTAGATTTTATTTTTCATTCTTGATTATAAGTGAAGCTGAGCATTTTCCCCAAAAAACACTTTAGTTACTAAAATGAGTTTATTTCGCAGTTGTGTTCTGTTTGCTCTGGAAAGGAAAATGTCAGGGCAAACAAAATAATATATTTAAATGATTCTTAATGCAAAATCCTATCAGCTTCTGTAATTGCCACCAATCATTGCCCATGGGTCACACTTTGAAACAGAAACTCATCAATAACACACACACAAATGAGGTTTCAAAAATGGTCAGTATAAAGTTATCATTAAGTGTGTCTCCAAGCTCTGAGCTTGGTCATTTCTTTAGAATTTGTCCATCCACCCTAGGAGACAGAGCTTCTTTGTAAATGCATGCTCTGAACGCAGCCTCTTCTAACTGGCCATCTTTCCAGCAAAGATTTCTGGACCTGGTTCTCCATTATCTGGGAAAATGAACCATGGGCTCTGTCCCCAAAGTGTGTCAGGAAAATATTTCTAAAGTTTGCTTCTTCAGAGCATGTTAATATTTGCCTATGAGTCACTGACTTTGCACAGTCCTGGTTCTGCTGTGGGCTTGTGTGACTGTAGGTAGATGGTCTTGACCTCCCTGAGAATAGTTTTATCTATCAATACAATGGGGTTAGTATTGTATTAACTCCTAAAGAAGATAGCAGGACACTGGATTGTATAGTAGTAATATTTTAGCCCTCTGAATTTTAGCACTCTGAATCACCTGCTCTTTACAACCTATCACCTGAAGGTCCTGATAGTGACTTATTTCTACATATCTGAAGTATCAGTCCACATTCATTTGTCTAGCAACAGTGCATGGAAACTGAAATAGAATTACACAAGCAGTGGGTTGTGTAATGGGTGTGATCTAACTGGGTAAACACGGGACTCCAACTCTCAGACCCACCCTATGCCAATGCTACATGATCCGTGTATGTAATTTTCATTTATTCTGTTGCTGAGATGACCGATAGTTGTCTTAAAGGCGTCAACGGTGTGATTTTCTTAGCATTTCACTACAATGATACTCATGGCAAATTGTTTTTTAAAAACAAGCAACAATTCTGCTCTAATATTTAAATTGCTTCTTTGCAGAAAAAACTAAAATCACTATAGTAAAAACCTTCAATGCATCAGGTATGACTTATTATCAATATCAAGACTTTCTTTTTATAATTGAAGTAAAATTAAACAAATGGCTGGTGTTTATGATTTCTCTCTCTTTTTTCCTAACTTTTAAAAATAAAATCTGTTCTTAATGAATAGATGTTTATGCACTGGGTACCTGAAGTTGTATTAGTGTTTGGAGCTATGTAATAATGATCAGACACAGTATCCACCCTCAAGAATCTTCTAGTCTATGGGGGGAGACAAGGCAACCAAATAGAAAACTAATATGAACATCCATGCAGATAAAGACAATGATTACACAAGTATTTCTGACATGGTTAAGAGGCATGAGAGATAGAGGGCTGGTGCTAATGAGTTTATAAACAGGATGCAATTTAATGGAAGAGTTAAATCAAAGAAAAGATATACTTTTAAGTTCCTGATGCAAGACTAGGCACATAAGACATGCTCAACAGAGGCTTCTGATTGATATCAAGCAAGGATTGGCAAACTACTGCCAATGGGCCAAATCTGGCCCACTGTCTCTTTTTGTAAATAAAGTTTTATTGGAACACTTCATGTCCATTTGTTTTCATATTTTCTATGGTTACTTTCCCTCTCCCTAGAACAGTAGAATTGAGTAGTTGCAACAGAGACTGGATGACCCACAACGCCTAAAATATTTACTATCTGACCCTTTACAGACAGTTTTCTATCTTGTAGTTTAAGGAATGGCCTGTGGCCATGTACTTGGAGGAGATTACAGATAAGAGCCCTAGCAACAGGAAAGAAAATTCTCAGTATGAATGAGCAGCAAGAAGACACACATCACTAGAAATGGAAGTGCAGCTAAAATTTAGAAAAAGATGTAAGATGGTGAAATGAAAAGCTTAGCAAGCAATAGACCAGTGGCTTAAAGGACATTTAAAGCATTCCTACCCATTGCCTATATATTATATAATACTTGCATAGTGTATATGTTATAGTAAGTTGTATCTATAAGCAAGTATATTTAAAATGAAATCTTTCTCTTTTGTTGTGGGTAACATTCCCGTGAAACAATATAGAAATCTACATGTCAGGTAACTTTTGGCACTGAAATTCAGTTTGCTCACAAAATCAAAACTCTTAGCTAAAGCATGATGCCTATCTGCCAGTGAATCGTACTGGCAGAAACCATATCACATGCACTAACTCGAATTATAATTTTAGTTTGTGTCCAAACTAGTTTTCTCATAGTAACGAACTAAAGACTTGTAATGTGCAATGGAAATAAACTAGCCAGTGGGCATTGCATACATTATTCTGACCAAACGAGACCTGACAAGGAGACCACAATATTTCTTAATATACCAAGCTTTGTCCCTTGGCAGTTTGCATAATACATTGTCAGCATTTGCCCCTCCCATTTACTATGGATTTCTTATGCTTTGCCAAAAGGATGCAATTAATGAAGGAAAGAGTCTTAGAGGAGTAAACCTTGAGCTTTTCAAATCAAAGAAAAGATGTCCTTCCCCTTTCACCAACAGAGAAAGTGTTTCTCAGGTTAATATGTACAAAGGTTTTTGCTCTAACAGGCTTCATTTCATCTGCCATTCATCTCTGCCTCTTGTATGACTGTGTGGTCTGTTGTCCTGGCCACCACTCCATTTTGCCTTCATCAAAAAGTAAATACAAAATAATCTTTGTTTACTGGCCAATGCCACTCACTACACTAGATTGTAAGCTCCTTGAGGGCAGGGTCTATATCTGGAACCTCCCCAAACCTGTAGAATATGGTAGGTGCTCAGCAAATATGTTTTCAATTTTGTAGTTTATTCCCATGAAATGATATCATGACATCAATGTTATTTCATACATACATTTACATAAAGCGCTAGGATTCACATTAGTGTGTTCATGGGCTCCCCTACCTGGGAAAGGAAGGAGGATCTATGATTAAGGGCTATTTCATCTGTAGTCTCTGTAATTGACTTGTATTTAGGGTGCTGTTTAGATGGACAGGAGAGGGGTTAATTGGGAGAGTAGGTAGGAGTCAGAGACACACTAAAGATTAGTAAAGAATTAAGTTCCATAGCTGACCAACTGAGAAATGAAAACTCTGATTCCTTTAGTCTTTTTGGAATTCATCCAGCCAATTATATCCAGCTTATGATATTTTGGGTCCATGTTTGATGCCTAAATTTGTGAATTTTCTTGACGATATAGTATGTAAGTGCAGGTGTTGACATGCTTAACTGGCTGGGTTGTGTTTTCTTTGCAGGGGTCAAGCTCCAGAAAAATATCTGCAATTTGTCATCTATTTGCAATGACTCAGGTTAGTTCTTGTGTACATTACACATTACTAGATAAATTTGCTCCATAGAGAAAACCGGTTTGTTTTTTTTCCTCTTGAATATGTGATGTGTACCTCTCTGATCTGTCTCTTTTCATGCCACCTGTTTACTAAGCATTCCTAATAAAAACAAAAGCAAATTTTAGATCTTGTTGAAATTATCTTCCCGTTGCCTAGTGAGAAGATGGATTAACTTCCTTAATATGATTCATGAAGTTCTACAACAAATATTTTTATTATAGCTTTAAATCCATAACTAATACCTTTAGAGTTAATTCATGAAGATAAATAATAATGAAATTAATAATTATTGAAAGTCACTTATATATAAATCCCTCCAGCTTTTCCAAGGACCTTAAGTATTCTAGCTTAGAAATAGGATGTTGCCTTTTGCTAAGAATAAGACAAATTAACTTGTTGAATGTTGAAACCTCACATACACCTCGATTAATTGGCTACTAATTCCAGTAGTGTCCATAGTGTATTTTGCCATCTCTAACTAAGATTATCCACTATTTTGTAAAAATTGAGATGGAAATCTCTTGAGAACATGCTATTTTTGAAATGGGAATGTTTTCCCTTCTGCCACGAGCCAGAAGGAATGAAACAACCACTTTTCTCACGTTGGTTTGGCTCTCTGGGCTCCTTTCCTTGTTAAAACCAATGAAAGCAAATGTGAAAAACAGAAAAATATGGTGTGGCAGGACAGAACTGGCCAGGAGATCATGGAAAGAGAGAAGAGGAAGGTGACAAGGTATTTTATGATATTAAAGTCTTAGTGTGACTTCAGTAATAAGCAATCATTATAGGAATGTTTTCTTTTATTCTATCTCTTTTAGCAGTTTAGCAATTTGTTTAGAAAATGTAGATTACAATTTAAAGTAAAATAAATTAAGGTTGGATAGATTAGAAAACAAGAAAACATCCTATTTAGAGAATGTTCTCCACTTTCTATTGTGTGAATGTGAGATTTGCTCATCTGAGCTTCCTGCGGATATTATGCTCCAGGTAGAATATAGGAGGGAAATATTAGCTGGTTTTGATTAAAGAAAAAAAAGTGTTAGATACATTTAATTTTCATATATTATATAACTATCACTTCTCTTTTCCTCCTGCCCCTTCTCTCCCTCTTCTCTGACCCTTCCCTTTACCAAATTCCTCATAATGTCATTATTTTTGTGCTTCATCTATGCCTTGGGCTGGTGACTAATGTCTAGTTCAGTGTTGTGTCTACATGATGTTTGATAACTGTTTGAAAATCGAGCATGTAGTTAAAAAAACAAAACAAAACAAAAAAACCTGGTCATCTTGAATAACAGATGCCAGAAAGCTGGTTGGAGTAATGTTTTCCCCAATTAAGTGACTGAATTGACCATTTGTTTTAGTGCCTGGTGAAAACAACCTCATCAGGGAACTAACTCTTTTGGCACCAGAAATCACATGATATCCTGCCAGAGCTAGAAACCTTCACTTCTTGCAGGTTCCAATCTGGATTTATTAAGGGAATAGAGGCTGGTGAAGAAACTGGGAGCTGACCAAGAGTTAGGCTGAGGGTCAAAAGGTGGTGGTTTCCTAGTTGCTCTACTACCACTGTGCTCCCAGCACATTTATGAAACTCAACATGCACTAAATAAGAATTCGAGGGAGAGAAATTATGGGTGTTGGCTCACGCATACACACAAACAATCTAAATAGGCATTTAAAAGCTAAAATATAGATAAGTAATTATATGCAGATATCAAGTATCTTTATTTTAAATTATATACTATATTAATTGAAATTTCAGTATCCATATGGTGAGGTTCTCAGTAGAAAAGTTGCTGAAATAGATCATGTTAATCACTAGTTTAGGGGCTTTGTCAGCCATTTTTAAGTGGAAGTGGACCCTTGGGTACATGACTATGGGAATCATTTGTACTTTGGGGTGCAGTAAAAGATGGTCTGTTTTTGTAAATAAAGTTTTATTGACACACAGCCTTGTCCATTCATTTATATATTGGCTGTGGAAGTTTTCATGCTACAACAGCAGAGTTGAGTGGTTGCAACAGAGGACTTATGGCCCACAAAAACTCAAATATTTGCTATCTGATCTATCACCAAAAACATTGGCTGAACCCTGTTCTAGTTTGTATGCCACCCTTGCCCCATTGCTCTGGAGGCCAGTTTTTGGCCCCTATAGATTATGAAGTTACACCATGTACTTCTGTTTAGGGGTCACTATTTTATTTGTGTCCAGATGGAGTCAAAGGACCTGGGGTCATATCCTGCAGGAAACAGATTGACTGAAATTGAGTTCAGTATTTCCAAAGTGAGCATTTTAAGAACAGGGTTTTCTGGCATTTCTGGAGTGAGAGCCACAGTGAGTTGTTCACTAAGGAAAATTGCTCTCCACACACTATTCAGGTTTCAAAGCCAAGTCTCAACTTTGTTCCTAGGAATGACATTGCATTCAGTAGCTGTATTTTTTATAAAAACAGAACAAAACAAGAAAACTGGCACAGAATAAATACACTTCCATAAGGTTGCTTAACTGCTGAGAACCTCGTTTTCCCTCTCTCCCTTATCTATGTAACTGCAAATATAACAACTTAAAAAGATTTTTTTAAAAAGTTCACATTAGAGCCATAGTCCTCCTATTTAGCATCTTTAAGGGAAACAAAGTTCTGACAAGAAGCATGTAAGGATCAAATTCCTTAACAAAGGGACAAATTTTCTCTCTTTCTCAATTCCCATATAAAATTTGTAGTTCTTATTTTCTGAAAATTATATCGATAACCATTGTCTAACTTCCTGATAGAGAGTAAATGTGAATAAAAACAAATAATTTGATGAAACCATTTATAAAGTAATTTGATAATCATTTTATGTTGTATTAATCCACAAGCTGTAAAGTACAAGTCTCAAATTTTTTTGAAAATTTGTTTTTAGTATTTTTTAGAGGTGAGATAATGTTTCAATATGATGAAGAAAGCAACGTTACCCTGGTAGGTTTTAAAGATTTTTTTTATATTACAATCTTAAAAGATGAATGCATGCATATTTAAAGATTTGTTTAAGGTTCAGATTATTTATGATTTTTGGCATATTTACTTTTATGCCCAAACTTAAATAAAATATGTGTTATGGAATCCCTAGCTTTGTGCTGAGGGCTTAAGTTCATAGTAATCATGATATTTTATTAATAATTAACATATTGTAGTTTTCACTAGGTTTGCTACTGAATAAGAATGTTAATATGATGCAATTTTATTACCAATTAAAATTTAAAATTATATTAGAAACTCCTAGCAACAAGAAATATATGTGTTGAATCTAAGAATAATCTTCTGAATCTGATCCTGTTCACCGCACGGGGGTTTGGATACACCCATAACCTAAATTGGTTTAAAGGATTCCAGCCAAACGTGGTTTGTTCATTCAGTGAATATTTCTGAGCACCTATTAGGTGCCAGGCAATGAGCTAGTTGCTAGAAATGCAGTGATGGCTGCTATCAAGTTTCCCTTTTTAAATTGGGCTCTGTTACTTAAATCTGGTACCTTTCATGGTGAGAGCTTTAATAGTGTTCTTTAGCGGGGGAATCCTTGAAATGAAGAAAGACAGAAATTGGAAAATCAGAGCTGCTGACTTAGAATGTTTTTTTAAAAAGAAAACATAAAGAAAAACTGGCTCAGCCAATATGGATTAACTTTCGAGAACCATTTTTTCCCTCCCTCCTTTGTCAAAGTAACTGCAATTTGATCATTTGATAGACAATATTCCATGCAGTTAGGATTCAGTCTTTGGGGTGTAGTTCTTTGGGTAGCCAACAACGCTAAAGAACAACTTCTTGTTAGAGAGTGTAAAAAACAAAACAAAACAAAACAATGTCTGTTGTATTCTTAATGATTTTGTGCTTTTAACAGAATCGAGAGATAACTAATGACACCTTAACTGGAGTCCTGTCTCTAAGTGAATTGAAGTGAGTAATCCGCTGTTTAATTTAAACCTTCAGACATCAACTATGGAAAAATACGTGTTGGGCCATCTTTGCTTATGAAAACTGAGACACAGACCCAAAGGTTCTAGACCTAATTGGGTGACTTCCTTGCAAACTAACCATAGTCACCTGTCATTAACTAATATCCCCATGAGGCTATTCTCTTTGATGCATAACAGCTTCCTTTAAATTGGTATTTGAGTTTTAATATGATTTGGCATCCAGCATGGGCGAAAGAAGAATTCAAGGTAGGACTCCATGTTTATGATTTGTTCACACTTTCATGAAGCATCAGTTCAAAAGTCAGAGGGAGGGCTTTGTTAAGTAGACCTTGGCTTTTAGGGACAAGCACAGACCATGAGAAATGCATTACTGACAGATGCCCTCAGTTAGACAATAGGTCAAAGTGTCAGCCACCCCAATGGCCATCTCTGACTATCACTTCTAGGGACAACTTCATATCTCAGCCCTTGTGGCAGGGAAGCAGCATCAGAGATGAAGTTTGTCTGCTCTCAACATTGCTACTACCTCACAAATGAGATTGTTGTAAACTTTTGAACTAAACTCACTCTGGTATCTGTGATGACACTGAAAAAAAAAACAAAAACAAACCTTTCCTAGATAAAAACAAACCAAAACAAGAAGCTCTTCTTATGGGTGTTTTCAAATTATAATAGCATTTTGACCTGGCTGCTTCTGATGTTTTGACAATGCCTAGGCAGAGAGGAACTACCATTCCACTTGGTGGATATCAAACACCCCTAGGGCCCACTGAGTTTATAGATGGTAAAAAGTTTAATGAGAACTGGAATTGGGGCGGGGTGTTACTCATGTGCTTTATGTCTATTCTTTGACCTCCTGATGAAAATGCAGCTTTCCTAACTATTCCAAGTTATATATATGACATGAAAAGCAGAGGGTATCAGTGCCCTGCAAGGATTTCAAACTTTAGATGGGCAATAATAGAGGATACATTTTTAAAACAAACCTCACAAATTTACAACTAGAATACAACTTAGCATACCTTCTGAGTCAATAATCTTAATTACTACACTAGAAATAGAGCTGAGTTCATTTAAGGTCACCAAGCATTTATTGAGCACCTACTATGTGCTGGGCCTCAGGGATCCAAAGAGGGATAAACCCAACTTTCTGAGATGGGAAACCAAATCTAGAGCAGTGGTTCTCATCTCTCTGTGCATATTAAAAATCACCTGGGGAGCTTTCAAAACTTTCAAAACTCCAGTACCCCAGCATACTCCATAACAATTAAATCAGTATTTGGGGGCTGAGACCTGGGCATGGGTACTTTTTAATGCACCCCAGGTGGTTCCAAGATGAGGCCAATTTTGAGAAGCAGGACTTTAGAGTCTGGTGGGGAAAACACAGGATGCAAACAACTGGTAACAATACAGTACAGACCCTACACCGAAGGTGGCATGTTTAGGGTACCAAGAAATGTTCTAAGTATCTGAATATAAAGCAGGTGGACCAGTTAGACCTGACTGGAGGGGACAGGGAAACTTCCAGAAAGAAGGTGGCCTCTGAGTACAGTTATGGAGTAGTGGCTCCTGCCGATTTGAGGAGCTAGGTGACTACTGCCATGGTCCTTCTCTTCTTCCTCCAGACCCTGCCTGGTGCCACCATTCCTTGGAGCAGGGTCTTTCAACTTTGGCACTATTGACATTTTGGGCCTCATCATTCTTTGCTGTGGGGGCTGTCCTGGACGTGGTAGGGTGTTTAGCAGCATCCCTGGCCTCTACCCACTAGATGCCTGCAGCACCCTCCCCAATATAGCAACCCCAAATGTTTCTAGATAGTGTCAAATAGCCCCTGGGGGCAGAGCCTCCCCCTGGTTGAGAGCTCCTGCCTTAGAGTGAATTCTTCAGCTACATTTCTTTCATCCTAACTTCGTGTGAAGCTCTGCCACTTTGAAGAAACTAAAGTGTTATTGGAGTAAGATTGGAGGAAAGGAATGAGAAATTTCTAGAGGGGAGTTGTGAGGGGAGGGCAGGGCTGGAAAGGGCAAGAGTGGTCAGGCTGGGTCAGTTGGAGAGGGAATGAGGAAGAAATCAGAGGCACAGGGTCCCCAGGGTGAGTGGCTTGCCCCTCTCAGAAAGTTTTACCTCAGGCGGGCTCTTGTTCTGGCCCTATGCCAGGGGAAGCTGGCTGGAGGTTGCAGTAGCCTAATGAATAACAAGATTGTTCAGCCATAATTTATATCTTGCTCTTGGCTAGAACTTATACAGCGCCTGTCTGGATAGTTTCCCTTGTCGTATAAATAATTTATTTTTGCCACATAGGAATCTCTTATTATACCCTGTGTTTCTTCAAAGTGAACACTGTAAGCAATGAATACCATGTGCTTGATTTAATTGCTGAAAATCTAACTTGTTTTGAATTTCATGGTCTCCTTAATGTCAATTTCTCTCATTTTATTAACAGACGATCTGAGCTCAACAAAACCCTACAAACTCTAAGTGAGGTAATCATAGCACACCCTGTACCTTGTTTATAATTACTGTTATTATTTGGGGGAAAGCATGGAGTTCTACATTCCTGGGGAAATGGGTATTCAAGTTCCCCCAAATTTATTGTGTGAAAGAGTGAATGGACTAGTTCTGTTATTCGAAAAATCAGAACTAGGAGCAATAAGTAAGATACTACAAGGAGGTAGATTTTCCTTCATGTAAAACCAAAAATTTCTTAAAATATAAACTCCAGGAGAATGAGCTCCCTTGTGTAGTAGTGATCTCTCTGACACTGGAGGTATCCAAGGCCTGAATAGCTTTGACAATATGTTGGGAATCTGGTAGGATTGTGAATTGGATGATCCCTAGGGGTTCTTGTGGTTCTAAAATTCTATGATTAGCCATGGGTCGTCTTTTCTGACATTTCCAACTGTGAAAGTAACATGTGCATATATTTGTGTTTCTTTGTTTCAGACTTATTTTATAGTGTGTGCTACGGCAGAGGCCCAAAGGTCAGCCATTTTTAATGCTTTTATAAATATCATCATTTCTTCATTTGTGAGGAATACAAGTCTTAAGGAGACCTAGTTAAATTACAAATTCAGGGGGTTCCTCTAAAATAAATACATATTAGTGAAATTTGGGATTTAAATATTTTTACTCTTGCAAACACTGATCTCTCTGTCACATTTCTTTAGGAAGCACAGAGGAGTGTGCGGTGTCGGGCCATTTACCTTAGCCCTGACAGCCACCAATGTAACCAAGAAATGGTTCACAGTGGTTCAGGCAGGGTGAAGGCCAGACAGAAATGAAGGAACATAATATGGAACTTGGGAGAAGGAGAGGGGGGAGGAAAAGATTGGAAAGAAAAAGAAACAAAGAAATTAAAAAGTACATGCAGGGGTGAATCAGAGATTGTCCAACAATCATCCGGGGTTATACAGATTATCATTTTAAATTGTATCCATTGGCTCTCTTAGCTGCATAAACCCCGTGTCTTATGGGGCAATAATCTCACTATCTGAACCCTGAGCATTCGGTGAGAGTCAAGTCCTAGAAAATGACAATTAGCACTCATCACACTATTCATTGGTACAAATAAGGGCAAGTAGTCCATAAAATTCTACGTTGAACCCATATCCATTATATGTATTTAGTTCATTTCACTTACCTCTTTTCGTTATTTGCAACATTACATTTTTTTCCACCTAAACCAAGGCCAAAGTAGAAACAGAGAAAATGTCTTAAAATCTAAGGTATCCGATGATCTACATTGAATTGCCAGAGAAATTTTGGATTTAAGAGACCTTGAGGTTCATCTAGGTCGGTATGTGAAAAGGCTTTCATGATGGAACGCAAATGCCTGTAGACACCAAGCCAGTGGCCAGATGTGGAGGGGGGTGGGAACGACCATAGATGGCAAGGTGCTTGCCTTTGCAATTGAGAAGTTTCACCCCTGCCTGTCCATCATGGGGAGGCAAAATGAACCAATAGCTGTGCGTGGCGAGAAGGTCTCTGGTTTGCAACCTCTGTGAATGTGAACCTCTATTAATGTCTCTTAGTGTCAAGTCCTTTGGATAAAGTTCAGACCACTGTAAATGGGTGTTTACAGTCTTATTGGGGTGGCACTGCAAGTTTACAGTGTCACTGTGCCCTTTCCTCACTCTTAAGTCTGCAAAAGCAATTACAAATGTACAGGTAGGTTTCTGATTATATATATTTCTCTTTACAGCACATTAAATTGTACTTTCACGGTAAAACTGAATAAGACAACAAATGTATGTGCTGTATTGGTTGCTTTGAAAAGAGTAAAGATTCGACCAATGGGTGAGTCATCTCTATCCTTATTGCGGGGTTCATCTTCATGTGACTTTTGATGTGTTATTTTTTAAATTGAAAATAGAATTAATAAATTTACATATGTTACGGCTTTCTGTTTTGACTCCTTTGTCCTGGGGCAATTTCCAGAGAGCCCTAGGTTATTTTTCCTGCTTTCTAATAAAACTTCAATATATCATATTTGAAAACATGATAAAACAAACCCTACTGAGAGAGAAAATTCTGTTTGCATTGTTTGATGGATTGCTATTGGGATATGTCTACCTTTTTTTAAAAAATGACAAATAAACTGTATATATTTATGGCGTACAACATGATATTTTGGTATACATTGTGGAATAGCTAAATTAAGCTATTTAACATATGCATTACCTCACATACTCATCACTTCTTTGGTGGTGAGAACATTTAAAATCTACTCCCGGCCGGGGCGCGGTGGCTCACGCCTGTAATCCTAGCTCTTGGGAGGCCGAGGCGGGCGGATTGCTCAAGGTCAGGAGTTCAAAACCAGCCTGAGCAAGAGCGAGACCCCGTCTCTACTATAAATAGAAAGAAATTAATTGGCCAACTGATATATATATGTAAAAAATTAGCTGGGCATGGTGGCGCATGCCTGTAGTCCCAGCTACTCGGGAGGCTGAGGCAGAAGGATCGCTGGAGCCCAGGAGTTTGAGGTTGCTGTGAGCTAGGCTGACGCCATGGCACTCACTCTAGCCTGGGCAACAAAGCGAGACTCTGTCTCAAAAAAAAAAAAAAATCTACTCCCTTAGCAATTTTCAAGTATACAATATATTGTTTACTGTAGTCATCATGTTGTACGAGCGATCTTTTGAACTTATTCCTCCTGTCTAACTGAAATTTTTTGTCCTTTGGCCAACATCTCCCTAATCCCCCACCCCCTCAGCCCCTGGCAAGTACCATGTCAGTCTCTGTTTCTGTGAGGTCGACTATTTGAGCTCCCACATATGAGTGAGATCATGCAGTAGTTGTCTTTCTGTGCCTGGCTTATTTCATTTAACGTAATGTCCTCCAAGAGGTTTACTTCTGAATTTCTCTTAGGCCTTGCTGAACAGTGATTGACACTGCACGCCCATAACCAAAAATTTCACTCAATAAATATTTTTGAGCACCCACTATGTATACAGTATATAATTGTCAACATAATGGCATCTAATTAATTTTATTGCCTGTTTTAGACAATCGCTCTTTAACATGCAGCCAGCGTAAGAACTGTAATACTTCATAGATCTGGGCTTCCACCTTGCCTTATTCTTTTTAACACGCATTTTCTTCTTCCTTGTCCTTTTGTCTCCCCCAGAACACTGCTGCTGTTCTGTCAGGACACCCTGCCCTTCCTCCCCGGAAGACTTGGAAAAGCTGCAGTGGTAGGTGGCAAACATACTGTTCCTTTTCCTAAAAAAAAAAATATAATAATAACGTTTAATCACCTTGCTGGCTAAAGGGTTTGGGGATTTCAGTAGTGAAGAAAGGCTTTCATGCACAGTTTTCTGCTGTATGAAGTGTCCACGTGGGCCATTGCCTTAAATCAAAGGTTTGCGAACTTGGCTGCACATTAGAATCACCTAGGAGACAGTAAAAAGATCCTGACTCTTCACAGACTTACCAACGAAATGCTTTGTCATTTTAAAAAATTTCTGCCAGTCTGATAGGCAAGAAAATGGTATCTCAGTATTACTTTAATTAGCACTTGTCTTATTAAGACTGAGCCTATTTTATTGGGACACATACACACACACAAGGCTGAGTCTGAATATTTTTTCATCTATTTGGGAACTATTTGTGTATCTTTTTGTGAATTATGTGTTCATGTTTTTTCCTCGTCTTTTCTAATGGATACTTGATCAATTTTAAGAGGACTTTATATATTGTGGATATTAGCTCTGTGGTATATGTTGTAAATATTCTCCCAGTTTGTCAGTTGTCTTTTGACATTGTTTATCATGTTTTTGTCATGCAAATTTAAAAATTTTTATGTGGCTAGATTTACCAGTCTTTTCTTCCTTTTCTTTTCTTTTCTTTTCTTTTCTTTTCTTTTCTTTTCTTCCTTTTGCTTTCTTCTTTCGCTGTTCTTTCTGTCCTTTTCCTTCCTGTTGCCTTTTCCTTCGCCTGGTTCCTTTCCTCTTTCTTTCTTTCCCCGTTCTCCTGTTCTTTCTTCTTTTCTTTTCTTTTCTTTTCTTTTCTTTTTTGAGACAGAATCTCACTGTATCACCCAGGCCAGAGTACAATGGCACAATCATAGCTCACTGCAGCCTTGAACTCCTGGGCTCAAGTGATCCTCCTACCTCAGCCTCCCAAGTAGCTGGGACTACAAGAGTGTACCACCATACCCAACTGATTTTTAAAAATATATATTTTTTTAGAGATGGGGGTCTTGCTAAGTTGCCCAGGCTGGTCTTGAACTCCTGGCCTCAAGCGATCCTCCCAACTCAGCATCCCAAAATGCTGGGATTACAGGCATGAGCCACCAGGCCCAGCCATGCCAGTCTTTTCTTATATCGCCCATGGATTTGGAAGTATAGTTAGAAAGCCTTTTCCCTATACCCAGGATATAGAGGAATTCACCCTTGTGTTTTTCTAGTACCTGCGTGGTTTCATTTTTCACATTTAGATCCGCTTGGAGCTTATTCTTATGTATGGGGCAAGATTTGGGTCTAATTTTACCTTCTTGCAAATGTTTGTCAGTAGTCCCATCACCATGTCTTTAAAAATCTACCTATTCCCCAGTGGTTTGAGATGCCACCTTTGTCCCATACGAATTTTGATAGTTGTTTGGCTCTAATTCTGGATATTAGATGCTAACATTGAGAGAAGCTGGGAGAGGGGTATACCGAACTCTTCGTATTGGTTCTGCAGTATTTCTGTAAGTCTAAAGTTAGTTCAAATAAAAGAAGAAAATACTGATTCCTGATCACCACCCTCAGAGACTCTGATTTCACTGATCCTCGGACATAGCCCAGACGTTAAGGGTTTTAAAAGTCCTTCTCATGATTCTAATGGGCAACCAAAGTTAAGAATTCTCAGGAGAGACTTAGGAACACTTTCAGATCAAAGAAGACTAGAGAGACTAAATCAATGTGTGATCATGTATTGGAAACTGGATTGAAAAAAAATTAAGCTATAACAGATATTACTGGAAGGACTAGGGCCACTTGAATATAGAATGTATATTAAATAATAGGATTGTCTCAACATTACATTTCTTAAATATGAAAAAAAAGAATTACTGCCTTAAAATTATTGCTTCAATGGAGGGAAACTGGGAGATGGATGCTCCAAAATAGAAGACTCTGAAAGTCATGTATGCTATGATCACAGGTATATAAAAATAAACATAGAAAAAACAGGAAGGAAATGAATGAAAATGTTCACAGTAGTTCCCAATGATTCACCTGCTTGCTGGCATGATGAGTATTTTATTTTTTACTTTTTCTTTTTGTTTTTTTATAATTGTGAAGCTTCTTAGATGGGAACAGAAGGCTAGGTGTAGTCTGTCTGCCTTGTGTGGGCCAAATTTCTGGAATATATTAAAACATTGGACCCTAAGGAATAGTTAAAAGTCTTTACTTAAGGATTTGTGGCATTTTCTGCAATAAAAAGTAAGGAGTAACATGCCCCATTAAGCTTAACATGCCCTTTTAAGCTAGAAGGTTGAGCGAGCCCCATTTGGAGGATAGAATTTCTGGAAGCACTGGGATTGAATCAAAAGACCACTGCCCTTTGAGGCAGCCCCACTGACCCCTGATGACTGCGAATTCCAAGAAATGTCAGGAAGAAGCAGGACATAGAAAAGAGGGCAGAATGTGCAAACTGGCATCTGGCTAGGGCCCTGTGCTTTAACTAGCTGTGTGACCACATTCAAGATTCAACATTTCTAACTAGCTTCCCTGGTGAAGCCAGTGCTGCTGGTTCACGGACCTACTTTGAGTATTGAGAGCCTAGACTGTAGAGCAGTGTTGTGGTTCGCAACCCTGGCCACATGTTGGAATCATCTGGAGCATGTTAAGAAACATTGATGCCTGCCTCTCACCCTCAGAGATTGGTCTGGGATGCAGCATGAGCTTCTGGTTTTGAAAAACTCCCAGGTGAGATGATTCTAATGTGCAGCCAAGTTTGAGAACCACTGGGCTAGAATTAGAGGATCACTGCAAATCTGTCTAATATATTGGTTCTTCAGATTGGCTGTGCATTAGAAATATCTGGGGAACTTTTAAAATATGCTGATGTGTCAATGTGGCCTTCTGGGGTGCTGGAAATGCTCTATGTTTTCATCTGGGTGGTGATTATATAGGTCTATACATGTATAAAAATTCATCAAGCTCTAACTATAAGATTAGAGGTTAGTACACTTTAGTATATGTAAGCTACACATCAGTAAAGAAGCATAGTAAAATGAAGACGTGCAGGTGCGGTGGCACACACCTGTAATCCCAGCACTTTGGGAGGCCAGGGTGGGAGAATCTCTTGAGGCCAAGAGTTCGAAACCAGCCTGGTCAGCATAGTGAGGCCCCATCCCTACACAAAATTTAAAAATTAACCAGATGTGGTGGTTTGGGCTTGTAGTCCCAGCTACTTGGGAGGCTGAGGTGGGAGTTTCTCTTGAGCCCAGGAATTAGAGGTTGCAGTGAGCTATGATTGTGCCACTGTACTCTAGCCAGGGCTACAGAGTAAGACCCCATCTCAATTAAAAAAAAAAAGAATACTGCTGCCTGTGCTTACTGCCAGAGATTCCAGGTTAGCTGGTTTGGAGTGGGAGCCCAGGCACTGGCGCTAAAGTGCTCTGGGTTTCCTAATGCATGGCTGGCATTGCCTACCACTGCTCTGCTGCTTCCTGTGTACCCCATGGTAGATGGGGGACCACGACTAGCATAAGTGACAAGAGGAATATCAGACAACCTCTTCATAGTTGAGCCTAGTAAATGGGAGCCCATGTTGGGGTGTGGCTTCTGCAGGTTCCCAGATACTCTGACAACAATTTAATTTACACTTCATAAAGCACCTTGACCGCAACTTGGCCTGATGGGTTGCTATAGCATACGATTTAGGGAATGGAGTGAATTGTCCGCAGGAGTAGCAAGAGCTGAAGCCCAAGTCAATGCTTTTGGACTCATGATCTTTCTGATTGTCTGACACCCTGTGTCTTCACTGCTGCCCTGAACCTCAGGGGGTACCAAGGGCCCAGCCAGACTAGACTAAGATTACTTTTCTTTTTAGGAACGTGACTTGCCTTAGGCCCCTTGATATAATATTCCTCCCTCCTCTCACCCAAGAAAAGCTCTAAGAACACATTCTCATTGGTGTGCTAAGTCTCCATCTAAAACTAGATCAATCAGTGGCTTCAACAATAAGTTGTCCCCTCTAGTTGCTTCTCCCCCAAGACCACCAACACAGATGATCTTTTGCCAGATAGTAGGTGAGTTCTTCTCAACCTCTGATGCCCATGAAAATCACCAAGGAGTTTAGAAAATACACATGCCTGGGAATCCCATACCTCATCCCAAGACCAACTGAATGAGACACTGTGGAATAGGCTATAGAAATCTATATAAAGTATATATTTTAACAAGCTGTCTGGGTAGTTCTCATGCACAGCCAAGGTTAAGAACCACTGAGCTAAAGCAACCTTGAGGACATAGTTGATGTACAAGCTGAGGACCACCACTTTGGCCCCAGCTTGATTTACTTTTTCATTTAACCAACATTTCTTGGTCACTTACTATATGCCAGTTACCATTGTGCCAGGCTACAGCAATAGAAAGTTGACTAAGACAGATTCGTAGTGTATGGAAACCAGTTGGGTCATGGAGCATTTAACAGCTCCCCTCCCGCAGGAGCTCAGAAAACATCCCATCGATTGACTGATACATGGTAAGGCATGGAGCCCAGAGCAGTGGTGAACTGGTGCACCGGAAATGGGGATTTATAGGCGAGCATCCCTCCTTGCTAATTCCTCTCCCAGAAAGTAGGTGGTGGGAGTGGACAGGGGCAGGGGAGCAGTGGCAGGTGCACAGACAGTGTGAAATGGCAGAGGCAGGAAGTGGCAGGACCCTGATTTAACCCCGTCAATAACCACATCAGCTTGGCAGTGTCTCACATGCATCTCTCTGGTTCATTCCTTCAGTGATCTACAGGATCCTGTTGTCTGTCCTGCTGACCATCAACACGGCCTGCCATTTTCTCCTTCCAGAGAATCCATCCCAGTTGTGCCTCAGCCCACTGTTCTTCCCCAGGTCCCCAATGCCTTCTCTTTGGCTGAGCCCCTAGATCACCGATCTGTGACCCACAAGGCTCCATCTCCAACAAGGGAGATTGACCCCCCTTCTCCCCAGCCTTCAGCTGCTGTAGCTTCCAGCCATACCATTGATGTGCACCCCCAGTTTGGAACTGTCTCTTCCCCTACACCCCAAACCCATCCTTTGCACACTCCGCTGTCTGCGAAAGCCTCACTTTCCTCTCCCACCACGATGGCCCCTGCGAATGTGACCACCACCGCACCTCCTGGCACAACAGGTAAATATGAGGTTATGGAATTTTGGCTACTTGAATTTTAGCTGCTAGCCTGCAAATCAAGACATCTGTGATAAGGCCACACGGCTCCTTTTTAAAAAAACGATGTTTGCTTGATTTCTAGAACTTTCCTTTAGGCATTCATAGAACATAGCCATGGCTGAGTTTGATTGTTTTGACCAACATGGCAGATAAATAGCTCTAAGCGGCAAGCACAGATGTGATTTTATTGAAATGGTTATTCCATAGGTTTCTTTCTCCTACCGAAGGTTGTCAGGTCATTGTTTTCAACATTCTGAAGAGAAAATTTTTCATCTATTAAACACAGTAGCTCCATTTAGACAGTAAGCAAAAAAAAAAAAAAAAAATTGGTGTTTTTGAAAATCAGTCAGTTACACAGTACCGAAGCTGCGGCTGAGCCAGGGTAGCCATGGGAGGGGACAGACATTTGGAAGACCTAGGCTTGTGTCTTCACGGGCCCTCACAGGCAATGTGATCTGGGGACAAGCCACTTGGCTCCTGCTGATTCAGCCTGTTCCACAAAAAGATCGAAATAAAAACACTAACTGCACTAGGTTGAGAACAAAGGTGTACAAGAGAGTGAAAACCACAGAGGGCTCCCAGCCCCAAAGTAGGCTTAGTGGGACAGAAATAAAGGGAAGAGGAAAAGAGGCAGAGAGACATCTGGATTCTCTGGAGTTTCAAGGCCATGCATAAGAAGCAGGTCTTCCTTGAGAATTTGGGCGGTGGGAAGCAAAACCAATTTTTTTCTGGTGACATTAGATTGGAGCTCAAGTTGTGATCCCCACTTCCTCTGCCATGGTGCCAGCATCCCCAGGAGATTTGGAGCTTCTGCCAAATGACTTGCTACTTCTTCAAATTTACACTGCTCTCTCTTCAATAACTTTTTTTACAAAAATAAATATTTCAGGCCAAATTATAAAATCACTGGGGCTCTAGTCAAGGGAAGGTTCGATGGCTGATGAAAACTAAAGTCCAGTTGAAGTTCATGAGGCTGGGCCTAAGATGCCATTGACCCTTAGAATCAACCTCATAATAGGCTATGCAAAAAACCCAGCAAGGTGGCCTCTGGCACCTGGACTTCCACTCCTGGGACAACAGAAGCAAAGTGACATATGCATTGGGTTGTTACCTGGTAGCTAAAAAGTAGATAAAACTTAAGTATTGCAGAAGAGAGAAATGCTTAAATAAGATGGGCTGCCTCAACACAAAGAATATTATGCAACCATGTAAGTCATTAGAACGGCTATCCAGAAACCTAGGGGCATTTTTTCAAGTCTTGATGTGAAGTCAAGATAGCCCAGCAACAAATAGTTTGCACAGCATGTTTATTAACGGCATAAATATACATGGGTAAGATTAGAAGGGAATATGCAAAATAAGAACTAGGATGTTAGGTGGTGAAAATAAGAGTTGTTTGTTGTTAAAGACAGGTTTGTCTCACTGTTTCCCAATTAAAAACACTATTACAAGTCAGACTCACAGGTGTTAGTCCAGCTGCCGATCTCACAATAATCTCTTTTTCACGAAAGAGCTTCTAGTGATCCACATAAAATCCTGTACACATGATATAAGTTACATACAAGTATACTTTTGTTTACATGAATATATACTACACGGATGTGCTTTTACATTTTTTAGCTAGCTTTATTGAAGTATAATTTATATACAGTAAAATTTATCCAGTTTTATGGACAAATGAAATTTTTACAGTTCTATGCAGTTGAATAGACACCCACTGTCCTGCATCCACCATCATAATCAAGATATATAACTTTTCTACTACCCCAAAGTTCCCTCGTGTCCCGTTCAAGTCAACACCTACCCCCTACCCCTCACCCCAGCCACTACTGATCTGTTTTATTTCCCTATAGTTTTGATTTTTCTAGAACACCATATGAAGAGAATCACACAGTATGTGGCTTTTTGAGTTTGGCTTCTTTCACTTAGCATAATGTATTGGAAAATTGGAGATCCATCCATGTTGCATATTTTGGTCATTAATGCCTTTTTATCATTGAATAATATCTTACTGTATGGATGTACCACAGCTTGTTTATCCATTCTCCAGTTGATGGACATTTGAGTCGTTTCTGGTTTAGGACTATTAGGAACAAGACCACTCTAAACATTCATGAACAAGTCTTCTTAAGACATATATTTTCATTTCTATGGGGCAAATGCCTAGAAGTGAGTTTGTCAGGTCATAAGGTCTATGTATGTTTATCTTTATTAATGACATTTCCATTGTGTATTCATAAAATGATTTGGCTCTTTGATATAGACATTGTCGACACCAGCAGTATTTATGATCTTGAGAGCCAAGTGGCCCAGATGGAGAAGTCTCTGTCCTTAGGGAGCTTGGAGCCTAACCTTGCAGGAGAAATGATAAACCAAGTCAGCAGACTTCTTCGTTCCCCACCTGCCGTGCTAGCCCCTGTGGCTCAAAGGTACGACTTGGCAAACTGAAGTGAGAGGGGACCCTCAAATGATGAAGATGCTGTTTACATGATTAATTATCACCCAATATTTTTCTCCCAATACTAGGTTCATAATGATTTCTCAAGTTGCTATTCTCTGTTCTGCTTAGGATGGGGAGACAAAGTAGGACTACTAAATGTAAACTGCCAACCTATCTTTACAGATTGCTAAAAGTAGTGGATGACATTGGCTTACAGCTGAATTTTTCAAACAAGACCATAAGTCTAACCTCCCCTTCTTTGGCTCTGGCCGTGATCAGAGTGAATGCCAGTAATTTTGACACAACTACCTTTGCAGCCCAAGACCCTACAAATCTTCAGGTATGTTGTAATTGATTGTGGAAAAAACCTTTTTCCTGGGTATGATTGTAGCCTCTGCTGTACTTCACGATTCAGGCAATTCCTGCTTCTAGTCAGGGGTGATATTTAAAATATTTATCATCTAGAACAGTGATACACTACAGTATCAAAGATGTTGGTCTTGGCTGGAGCAGGACTCTGTAGATCGCTGTTGCACCTCATGTTAACCTTTTAGCGAGTGGATTATGAAAGTTGGGGATGGGAGGTGTCCAGGGAGGGTCTCAGGCAGTTGAGAGAAGTGGGCAAGGGCATCAGCTACTTATCAACCCACTTCAATATTGTGACAAGTGTTACAAGTACACAGTTGTATATGGTGATGCTATCACCCTGCTTCTAGTATTTTCTTTCCACCTGTTAGAGGCATTGAGGGCTGATAACACCCAAGTAAAACCAATTCTTGCTTTACTCTTTGTAAAATCTTCTCTTTGCAAGAATATGATTATATGAAGACTTTACCACCATAACTGGTCACCAACTTGGTGTGTCAGCTGCTATGGTCTCCCTGGGGTCTACAGTCATCTTGCACTTTTTGGCTATTTCTGTATAGCCTTAAAATGTTCCCTTTCCTGCCTGGAGGCTTCATCTCATTATTACACATCTTCTTTTTAATTTAGTAGCAGCCAGAGAAACGGAAATAGAAGCCCCTTTATGTTGAGATAGCACAGAGCACGCCCTTACAGGACCTTCCATCTTAATTAGTTGTGTTTTCCATCTCATTATACGAGCTCCAGACGTTTTTATTATCTTTCCCCTGATTTTCAGGTTTCTCTGGAAACCCACGCTCCTGAGAACAGCATTGGTGTTATTACTCTTCCTTCATCGCTGATGAGTAATTTACCAGCTAATGAGTTGGAGCTGGCTTCCAGGGTTCAGTTCAACTTTTTTGAAACGCCTGCTCTGTTTCAGGTAAAGCTGCTGCTCACTGCTTTTCGTTTGGGTTTTATTTGGAGGTAGGGGGATTTTTATTTCTTTTAATCTTCAAATATTCTTAAGTCATAAGTCACATGAATTGCCAAAACGCTGCAGTTCATTTTTAAGCACAGCCTAACGATGCTGTTGGTGATAAGTAACTGACACGTATGTAGTATTTACCGATTGCCAAGCACCATCCTAAGCACTTACAAGCGTTAACTCTAGTCCTCTCAACAACCCTGTGAGGGAAGAACTATGACCCCATTTTACAGATGAGTCAATAGAGGCACAGAGAGGTTAAGTGGCTTGCTTAGGGACACACAGCTTAAATATCTTAATGTTATGTTCCCTTTAAAGATTCATGAGATCCTGTTGTGTCCATCTATGCAATTTAGCTCAGTATTTAGAGCATTGCATAGTGGAACAAGCTCTGCTTCTCACTGTGGTCCCTTGTGAAAGTCACTTTACCCCCGACCCTCAATTTCTGACCTATGTTATAAAATAAACAATGTGGACTAAAAAGTCCTTAGCGTCTCCTCTAGCTCTAAACTCTCTGATGATGTCTCATTTTCTTTTGCTGTCTTGCTGATTCTTCGGTGTCCTAGGACTCTTCCCTGGAGAACCTCTCTCTGATCAGCTACGTCATATCATCAAGTGTTGCAAACATAACCATCAAGAACTTGACAAGAAACGTGACAGTCACGTTAAAGCACATCAACCCAAGCCAGGTGGGGAGAGGACTGTCCGGCCTATTCATTGACCAGGAACACCTTGTACAAACTATGCCCCTAAGAGACATGGCCTGGAAAAGGCAGAGCCATGAGAAAGAACCTGCAACTCAATTGGAGTATGTGTAAGACTAGAATCACTCAGTCACTCCGCTGGGTTTTAACATGCTTAATATTGACCACCTAATTGCCAAGAAGAATTGGTGCAAAAGCAAGCTCTTATTAACTGCTGAATTTCAGTGTGCATAGATCTGTGGTTGCAGGCCTGATTGCCACCTCCAAAGAGACAACATCTCTCAGTTCAGCTCACATTGAGCAAAACCAATGACCTCGCTACTCACAGTGTGGTCTGCAGACCTGTAGCTAGAAATGCAAACTCTTGGGCCCCAGCCCAGACCCAGTGAGCCAGAATGTGCATTTTAACAAGGCCCCAAGGTGATTTCTATGCCCGATTGATGAGTTTAAGAAGTGCTGACCTGTATAGGGCTCACTTGCTCCTAGGAACCATATAAAATAAAACCTTTCCAAAAATCAAGCCCAAGATTCTGAAATTAAAAACACCATAGGATTTTTTCTAATTGCTTTTTAGTTTTTTCAGTTCATCAAATTAATTATTTGTGATTTTATCTTTCTACTGCAGGATGACTTAACAGTGAAATGTGTATTTTGGGACTTGGGCAGAAACGGTAGGTTCCACTCAACCTTTTTTTTTTTATTATTTCGGCATATTATGGGGGTACAGATTTTAAGGTTTCAATAAATGCCCTTCCCCCCCTCCCCCCACAAGTTTGAGTTTCCAGCATGACCATCCCCCAGATGTTGCACATCTCACTCATTATGTATATATAATACCCACCCCCCTCCCCCCTGCCTAATACCCTATTATTGTAGTACCTGTGTGTCCACTTAGGTGCTACTCAGTTAATACCAGTTTGCTGGTGAATATATGTGGTGCTTGTTTTTCCATTCTTGGGATACTTCACTTAGTAGTATGGGTTCCCACTCACAACCTTTTCAAAGCCTTGAGCGGGTGAGTGACAAGTCAGTGTTGTTCCTTGCTGACAGATGCTCTTCCCGATGCCAACAGGGGGCGCAGGAGGCTGGTCATCCAATGGCTGCTCCATCAAAGATAGGAAGCTGAATGAAACCGTCTGTACCTGCAGCCACCTTACCAGCTTTGGCGTTCTATTGGTAATGTGCCCGTGCTACGTGGCCTTCGATTCTGGCATCCCACTCCAATGTCTAATTGATGGATGACTTTGATAGATGAGCAGATATGATATTGTGGCAGAGCTATACACCAAAGATATTACTCTTCTAATCAGCAAATGCACCCTTGAACATGGAATACAAGTATTTTTTCACATTCTCTTCTTACCTTTACATTTTTCTCTTTTAAATAGCTCAGAGGATTAAGGAATTCAGATTAGAACGAGTAATAAAAATAGTTTCGTTTGCAATACACTTTCAAATTTTTACAAAACACTCTGACATCGATGATCTATCTTATTTAATCTTCCCAAAAGTCCTGCAAGTTAGGTAGAAAGGGGTGTTGTTACTGTCATTTTATTGAAATCAGAATTAAGACTCATTTGCTAGTTAATTGCCCACAGTCATAGAACTAAGAACTGTAAGAGACAGGAGCCAAATTCCAGTCTTAGGCTCCTAGTCCAGTGCTTTTCCAGGGCACTAGAATGCAGTGATCAAGTATGTGGCTTTGGATTCAGCCAGACCTGAATTTGAATCCTAGCTTCTCCACTTCCCAGCTGTGTGACCTTGGGCAACTTATTTAACCTCTCTGGGCCTCAGTTTCCTGATCTTTATATGATATGATAATAGTTGTGCCTGCCTTGCAGGCTTGTTGAACAGACTATGAATGGATAGCTGGAATACTCAATAAATGTAAATCAGAACTCTTTTATTTATTTAGAAATATTTGATTATTGCTGAGCACAGTGGTGAGCACCTGTCTCTCAGCTACTCGTGAGGCTGAGACAGGAGGATTGCTTGAACCCGGGAGTTTCTGGGCTATAGTGAACTATGCCGATCAGGTGTCTGCACTAAGTTTGGCATCAATATGGTGACCTCCTTTGGGTGGGGGGCCAGGTTGCCTAAGCAGGGGTGAACCAGCCCAGGGTGGAAATGGAGCAGGTCAAAACTGCTGTGCTGATCAGTAGTGGGATCGTGCCTGTGAATAGCCACTACACTACAGCCTGGACAACATAGCAGGACCCCATCGCTTAAGGAAAAAAAAGAAATATTTGATTATTGAAAGCAATACTTTATTTTCTAGGACCTATCTCGGACTTCCATACTGCCTGCCGAAATGATGGCTCTGACGTTTATCACGTATATTGGTTGTGGGCTTTCATCAATTTTTCTGTCAGTTACTCTTGTAACCTACATAGCCTTTGAGTGAGTATTCACAACTGGAAATTTGGATTATAGGACTCAGTGCTCACGTCCATTGCCAACATTTGTTAATTAAGCCTTTTCCTTGGTCTGCCTTATCCTGTACACCCACCTAGTGGAGCACCTATGTGTAAACCTCATGGGACTTTTCGATTTATATGCTTGCATCCTTTCACTAGTCTGTGAGCTCACCAAAGGCAGGGGTTGTGCCATAATCATGTTTGAATCATTCAGAATGGTGCCTGCTACCTAGCAGACATTAAGTGTGAAATGAAAGATGGATACAGATGCCAAAATCTAAGAATTTACAATCTGAAATAGACCATAGCACCATGTATGGCATAAGAGCTATGTTTAACAAATTAAGTTTCTAAATGAGACTGAGCAAACATAAAAGATTAAATACATTAACTGCTGTGGGAATGAAAAAGAATAAGGGTGCAAAACCCTCGCTGAAAAAAATACTTGGTGAGTGTAGCCTTGTAGCAAGAATGACATTCCAAATAACAGCATCTTCTTCTTGGCTTACCAGAAGAATCCCTTTGGTCACTTTTTCAGGAGAATCCCAACAAATTCTATTGGAAAAGAAGAACATAGGCATTTTTATTATATTATCTAAATGAAACAATATGTAGGTTTTGGGATTTAGATTTTGGACACCGATCAGGAAATGTACAAATTTATTTTCAGTGCCAAACTTAGGGTCCAGCTGTGACTACAGATCTTCTAGTGGAGCTTTGGAAATATTATTAGTGAGACTAAATTACCATAAGGCCAGCCATTACTCAGAATGATTTCACCAGATCTAATTTTGCACACATAAACATGTACATGTCATCAATTAGCTGTATTTTCCTATGCCATTACATTTAGCTATAGTTTAAACTTTTCTTTCCATGATCTCATTTTAATTAATAACATATGATAATATGGGAATCTGGGCATATTTTGAAGATCCGAACATAGACGCCTATTATATGAAAGGCAGCAGCAATGCTTCTAGAAGTTTGGGAGAAATGGGGTGGGTGCTCAGTAGCATCTACTACAAACTATTTAAAAGTATGGGTCACCAGTCAGCATGTAAGAGATCCCACTGAAATATAGGCACAAGTTTTCCATATAGTTATTACAGATGATTCTGTTTAGATTTTTCCTTTGTTATTCTTGGTTTTAACCATCCCCTACCCATATGCACATACACACTAAAAGAGAAGACATCTATGTATACAGATGTTTACCAAAGAATAAAAATAAATTGCTAAATCTCAGAGACAGCCTGACAAATATGGTTCTATAAGGGTCGGCAGAAGGTAATGCTAATTCTTTTCTTGTTCTTTCTTCTTAGGAAGATCCGGAGGGATTACCCTTCCAAAATCCTCATCCAGCTGTGTGCTGCGCTGCTCCTGCTAAACCTAGTCTTCCTCCTGGACTCATGGATTGCTCTTTATAAGACTCGAGGCCTCTGCATCTCAGTGGCTGTATTTCTTCATTATTTTCTCTTGGTCTCATTCACATGGATGGGCCTGGAAGCGTTCCATATGTACCTGGCCCTTGTCAAAGTGTTTAATACTTACATCCGAAAATACATCCTTAAATTCTGCGTTGTCGGGTGGGGTACGTATAAGATTGCTTGTGCATTGCCTGGACTTTCTCTGTATTTTCCCCAGTGTTTGGATTTTCAATCAGGTAGAGACAACGATGACGCAGATCACGTTTGGCAAGTTTCTAAAACAGCTTTATCCTCTTACATGTGCACTGCCCAAAGAGCAACTTTGTGAGGACTCTTTCTAGAACACCTGTATGTTTCCTCTGGAATTGTCAGGAATGAAAAACTCTTCGAGGTTGGACCATGAATCCTCTTTGTATCTCCAGGAACTAGAATTGGGACTGGCACAGAAGGTGCCAGAAGGTGCTCAATAAATTAGGAAAGTTATCTTGGTGGTAGTGAGGCCAAACTCTCCATCCCTTAGCTCCAAGCTAGTGTCACTCTCTTTTGTACCTCCAAGATAGCAGATACATTACACGTGTGACTGTATGCTCAGCAGGGCAGAGTGAGACGATGGACTTATAAAACCTGATGGAACTGCATCATCATACTGGTGTGATATTTTAGATTCTGTAACCTGTTGGTGGTGGGTCACAAAGGCTTAGAGTCTCCAAAGATCTTGAAGGTTCTTGATTCAACTCCCCACCCAATATAGGAGCCTCCTCAACTTGACCTGACTTATCCTTGACTAAAGATAATCTAATGTCTACTTGAACACTTCTATTACTGGGGAGCTCATTACCTTATAAGGCAGCCAATAACCATTTTCTCAAGCTCTACAGTTCTGTTTTTCCGTTAAGTTCAGTTGGCTCCCTCGTGGCACTTACCAGTGGTCTTGGTTTTTCTCTCTCAGGCAGAAAACAATAACTCTCTTCTGACAGAGAGTCCTTTAAATAATCCACAAGTAACATATAACTTGTTACATGTTATAATGTAATGTATTTACATTGTAATGTAAATACAATGCCCTATTTTTCAGTGTATTTTCACATAAGTAACCCCATTAAAGACAAGCCAGTGGGGGTAGCAAAGCAGTTATTGCAACTCCAGTGAAGAAACTGGCTCTAAGTGATGATGTGATTCACCCCCAATTTACAGAGCTACAAACGAGCAGGGCCTGGCTTTCCAATTCCTTCTGCATGTCCCTTCCACTGTGTCACAGCCACCATCGCCCCACAGACTCTCTCCTCTTCTTCAGGCTAAATATTCTCTACACAACAGGTTTGCAAACACCTTACCACCCTTGCCACCCTGCCCATCGTTGTATCTTGGTGAAGAATGACACCTTTCTCCCCTTCATCCCAGAAAGAGAATTCACTGCTCTGAATAGTGGACACAGATTCTGTCTTCATTAGGGAAGCCTGAAAGGTCAGATCCTTTTGTCAAGGATAAGCTCCTCCATCCCCAGTATTTTATTTTTAGAGAAGTGTCTCACGTGGGGAACTATCATAGGTCAGTGTCACCAGCAGGTATAAATACAAAGGAATTAAATGAAATATTGCATTCGACTGGATGAGGCACCACACAATGATCTGTGCAAAGGAATTGTTTTTCTATTTACCAGGGCATTGAGATTGCATGTCAGGTCTGTGTGCACAGAACGTGAGCTGGTGGCATGGGGCAGGTGGATGGTAGTGACGGGGTGGGAAGGGCTCCTTCTCAGCCAAAAGGCATTTTAAACTGAGAGGAGCCTTCTCATTGTGCCTCCTCTTAGTGGAAGTGCCTGTGGGCCCTTAGAGAGCCGGCACAGTGGCAGTCACCACTCCCAAGTCAGCCAAGATGTGATCTCGATCTATCAATGTGTTATAAATAATCGAGTAAGGGCTTTTGGTTTCATAATGAATGATTTGCCAGGAGTTGTTGGCTCTTAATTTACATTCCAGATGTGTCTAAGTTAAGGATGATACTAGCTGCTGTAACAGACAGGCCTTGAAATCTCAGTAGGTCATTTCTTGCTTGTGCACAGTGAAGTTAGTGGTGATGGAGGAGTGTCTGGTCTTGCAGTTATTCAGGGATCCAAGCTAATGAAGACGCCGCCTCAAGACAGGGCTTCCAGGGTTTCCCTGAGTTTGAGGGGAAAAAGAGAATAGAGGATCTCACAGGAGGTTTCCACGGGGCAGGCCTAGAGGCGGAGCAAATCACTTCTGCCTGTATCCCATTGACCAGAACTTAATCTTGTAGCCACACAGGGCGGTTGGGCATGTCCAACCATGTGCAAAAAAAGAAAAGAAATCAGTCTGGTGAACAGCTAGCTAGTGTCTGCCACAAGAAGTAAATAGAATGTGCTCTCTAGTCTCTCTTCTCACCACATTTGGTTACTAGAACTCCGTGTGACCAATGTTTCCCATCCTCCAGGGCTACCAGCTGTGGTTGTGACCATCGTCCTGACTATATCCCCAGATAACTATGGGCTTGGATCCTATGGGAAATTCCCCAATGGCTCACCAGACGACTTGTGAGTACAAAGGTCCTGAGGGAATGTTAAGTGAACTGGTAAACGGAATTCTCCAAGAAAGTGGAGAATCTGATGAGCATATTGACTTCTGCTCTTATACTGATAAAATCCAGCAATGCTTAACAGCAGCCTTCACCGTCGTATATAACAAGATAAGCTAGTTGGAAGTGCCATGCTACTATTTAGGTAACAGGAGAATCTATTTTGAAAAAAATATATGAATTAGGAGGAACTATTTTGAAAATATTTTCATTAGCCTCTGATAAAAGTGACATCCAGTTACATTTATTAATAAAGACTCATGGAATAGAGTTACTAAGGTTTATAAGAGTAAAATCCTGAATGTTATTTTTAAAATCCTTTTAATCACCAAATATCCTAAAATAGACTTAGATTCTTTTCCCTAGAGCTATAAATGGTTGTAGAGAATAGCAGTTTTATCATTATTTTCCCTTGTAGAAAATGTTTCAGTAAAACGTTATAGATTCGTTGTTATCATTTTGAACTCTAGTTTGTCGTTGTAATCTGTTTTTCCCTGTTTTCCCCCCAAATTCCAGTTGCTGGATCAACAGCAATGCAGTATTCTATATTACAGTTGTGGGATACTTCTGTGTGATATTTTTGCTGAACATCAGCATGTTCATTGTGGTCCTGGTTCAGCTCTGTCGAATTAAAAAGAAGAAGCAACTGGGAGCCCAGCGAAAAACCAGTATTCAAGACCTCAGGAGTATTGCTGGCCTTACATTTTTACTGGGAATAACTTGGGGCTTTGCCTTCTTTGCCTGGGGACCAGTTAACGTCACCTTCATGTATCTCTTTGCCATCTTTAACACCTTACAAGGTAAGCTCTACAGCATTAAATAAATTCACAAACTGAATGATCCTAGTTGAATATAAAAATGTAGATACTAAAAGAGAACAGGCATACCTCGGAGATATTACAGGTTTGGTTCCAGACCATAACAGTAAAGCAAATATTGCAATTGAAGCAAGTCACACAAATGTTTTGGTTTCCCAGTGATTATAAAAGTTTTGTTTACACTACACTGCAGTCAGTCAGGTATACACTAGCATTATGTCTAAAACATATGTATATATACCTTAATTTTAAAATAATTTATTGCTGAAAACTGCCAACACAGAGATATGAAGTGAGCCCATGCTGATGGAACAATGGCACCAACAGGTTTGTTGCTACAAACCTTCAATTTGTAAAAAATACATTATCTGCAAAGCACAATAAAACGAGATATGCCTGTATACGCAAAGTAGCTTATTTAGTGTTATCAACTGAAGAATCATAAGGTTCGTACATTTGGAGACAAGAGCTTTATTTCTTATAACAGGTTGCAGCCTGTAGGTTGGCTATCCCACAGGCTGAGAAACATAGCCTCTGGCAAAAACCTAAAGCAGGCACTTCAAGGGAGGGAAAGGTGGGACAGGAATTTATGCCAAATGGCTTGGCTAAGTATACATATTTAACAGGTTACAGGAGGGGCTATGAATATTCATTATGGGGACATGCATATGCATAGTAAGTAAACATGCATGTTACGTGCATCCCATGTTCACTTTGGGGTAGAGGCCTAACATTTAAATACATTACAAGTGGGGCTCTATATGTCATAAGGTGAAATGGAGGGCACAGAGGCATCTGGTGCTCAGCCTCTGTCAGCCAGCTAGAACGAGTCCATAGTCAGTGGTTTCTTATTAGGAAGGAACACTGGTCAACTCAACAAAGGAGGAGAGCCTGGCAGGCAATTGGTTGAAATCAGCAGTGGAGCAAGTCTTTCAAAAGGGCTGGTTTTTGTTTAACTTTTAGGAAAGAAAGAAAGACTAATGGCCATTAGTGAGGGAGGGGGTACAATGAGGCATGTCCAACCTCCCTTCCTATCATGGCTGGGAACTTGGTTTTTAAGGCTTCTCTGGGAGGCCCCTTGGCCAAGAACCAGTCAATTCTGTCAGTTAGGGAGGCTTAGGATTTTATTTTTATTTTTCAGTGGCTTAAGATATTTTCATTGAAAAACAGAAATTTATCATTAAGAAAGGGTGTTTTAAGATCTTTAGAAGAAAGGCATTCACTAAATTCAAGAAATGGTGCTTTTTTCCTCCTTATCCATCATTATCTCCTGGAGACACCATATTGAGGAGAACCTGCCAGGAACTATTTCTGAAAGAGCCATTTACTCTTCCTTCACTTGGTTCCTTTTAAACAAAACAAAACAAGTTTTTATTTAAGTAGAACATGCATACAAAAAAGTATACATTCTTTGATGTGTACCATCTGGGGGATGGACATACTTGAAGCTCTGACTCTGGGGACGAAGAGGGGGGGAAGGCAACACACATAACTGAAACATTTGTACCCCTATAATATGCTGAAATTTAAAAAAAGCGCACATACCATAAATGTCCCCATGTGGGCTCACCACTGTGACCTCCTAGGTCAAGGTTTGGTTTGAAGGCAAAGGTAAATGAGAAGGCAATAGACAGACCCCAGTGGCTGGCAGCAGTCTTACCTAAGGGCTGGGACACACAGCAGGTGAGGGGCAGGCTCTGCCTATTGTCCTCTACTTTGGAGCTTCCCATTGCTTAATAATGAAGCCCAGTCACTTTGGAACCCTTACAGTTGCATTCTTTAGAAAAGCAAATTACTAATTCTTTTAGAGCAGTGTTATGAAAGACTTGTCAGTTGTTAGTTTTTAATGGAAGTTCTTTGGCATTAAAAGCCCATCTGGCAAATAGGTTTACATTACAATAACAATAATTCACTGTCCCTTGGTGTCCTTTTATTCTAGATCCTCCAGTTGGATGCCTTTTAATTGCATTCTCATCTGCCTGTTTTAGCTCCCACAGTGTCCTGTAGTTCTGTCAGGCATTAGATTATTTTTTTGGTTTTCAAAGAAATCCCAATCTGAGGTTAAATTTAAATGGCTGATTTGGCCATTGGTTCTCATTTTATTTGGAAGAATCCAGCAGATATGCTTGTTTGGTTATGTACAGTTATTATTTTTTTACCTACAATATACCAGTTCCTGAACTGGTATATCCAGGTGTTGCACTACATGGTATTAAATACAAATCCCTCCCCCCAAATAAGCAAATCATTTATAAGGGTTTGAAGAAAAAGTTTTATTTGATAACAACAGCATACTAAAAGTAATAGACACTATAAAAGAAAAATATATATGCCCACATCACACTATTCATTAACATGAAAGCAAAGTACCTACCCTCACAACATGTTTCATGTAGAAACCACATCTGCCTCTTTTGCTTCATTTCCCCAGAATATCTTTTCACTGGAATATGAACAGATAGAAAGAATTTATTGCTTCATTTATAAAAGTGAACTAATCCTAATTCACAGGGTTTGGGGGTTGGTTACAGTAGAGATACTATAGGTTCTGATTCTGGCCTCTCTCCTACATGCTGTTTCTCTCCTTATGCAACAAGGGTAGCCTCCCAGGGTGGTAAATGAGCAGAAGTATGCAATATTCAGACAGCAGTCTTGAGCGTGGGCACGTGTGCCCTTCTGGAAGCCAACCTGGCATTTTTAAATGAAGGTTTTAAAGTAGATAGTAGAGAGCTCAGAATTCATCCATTCATTCAGCAGATATTTATTGGCAGCCATGGGGCTGTGTGGGAAGCCCTGGCCTGGAAAACTGGGCACCCAGGTGGGCGGGAGGTGGGGAGCCTGAGGGCCCCTTCAGTCTTCAGCTTGCTCTCTACTCCGGGAGAATTTCCTTGAGCAGATCAGAGAGCGGTAGGCAGGTGGATAAGTACACTGCTGTAGTATCCCAGGCTGGAGGGGAGAGGGGAAGGCCCAAGCCAAGGACAGGGTGGTGGTGGATTGGGGAGGAAGAGAGAGGGAATGGAGACGTGTGGAGGAGATGGCTTTTGACAGAACTTGGAAATAGATTATACATATGGAGAGAGGGAGGGATGGGAGCCTAGGTCCAAGCTGGGATCCTGAGTGGATGGCTTGTTCCAAGATGGGGAAGGCCAGGGATAGGATGTGAGAAGAGACGTGTGAATAGGATGTGTGAATTTAATTTTAGAAATGTGAAGTTATCATTCCTTTTATATTCTTTACCTTGCAAACATTAAAAAAGGCATCCCCCGATTCCTTTCATTAGCAAGCTCTCCTAGGACTTTGGACATTTTATTCAATTTGCAAAATTCCACATTACTCACAGATGCCAAAGATTTTATCTTTTGTGCAAAGTAAGCTTATGACATTCAGGTCTTAGTTTGGAATTTGTTGTATTATAGCGCTTTTTTTTCCCCCCTCTTTAGGATTTTTCATATTCATCTTTTACTGTGTAGCAAAAGAAAATGTCAGGAAGCAATGGAGGCGGTATCTTTGTTGTGGGAAGTTACGGCTGGCTGAAAATTCTGGTAAAGATTTACCTTACTTTTTCTCCTCTTCTTAAAATCTTGAAGAAAAGATCTATAAATTAAGATCCAAAGCAATCATTGCCAAAAGGCCATCTGATCTGGAAATCGGAGAATGGGACCTGCTCAACAGAAAATACTGATTATGAACATTAAGGGAAAAAACCCTAGTGAATTAAAAAATAATTATTCATAAAGCTGGGTACAGTGGTGTGTGCCTGTAGTCCCAGCTACTTGGGAGGCTGAGGCAGGAGGATCACTTGAGCTGAGGAGTTCAAGTCTAGCCTGGGTAACATATTGAGGCCCTGTTTCTAAAAAAATAAAATAAAAATAAATAATTATTCACATTTGGGAATTCTGTGAGCAATAGAATTAATGGGCTTGCTACTTCCTGAATGAAGCAACGGTGAAATTTATTTTCTATTGAGTTCATGTTTTTCATTTCCCCAAGTAATTTTTAATATTTACCGTGATAATTTTTTAAGTCTTGACTCAATCCTATCTCCACAGGTTCTGGTTGTCAGTTGCTTTATTTATTAGCAAGCCAAACTTTGTATATAAGCCTTAGCATATATTTGGTTATTTTGAAGTTATTTTCACATATGCCCTGTTGGGTAGCAAATAGATCATTTTTAAGAAGATAAGAAAAATGAAGTACTGTTTGGAAAGCTAGATTCCTTTTGCATGAGTACCACCTTTGCAGTATCTGGGAGGCATAGGAGTCTCTGGCAGTACATATAGTTCAATCATTTCCATAGATTTAGGAACCTTTAGTCTTCGCAACACAGTTGATTTGTGTTCTTGTTAAGATAGTATGAGGCCCTGAATTACTACCTAATTCAGTAGATATTTATAGACACAATCAAATTAGCTTGGCCTTTACATTAGGAGAATTTAGGTTACTTTTAACCAGGCAGTCATTTGAAGGGCAAATGTATATAATCTAAATGAAAATACATTTTATCACACCAACTTATGAAATGTGTGACTTCCCTGTAAGATCTTGAAGTGAGAAATCAGTTGCTAGGACTTGTTACACTGTGATCTGTCTCTTGCATTTGAGCTTCAACATACTGCCCTGTTTTTCTATAATGCTTATTCTGCTGTAGACTGGAGTAAAACTGCTACTAATGGTTTAAAGAAGCAGACTGTAAACCAAGGAGTGTCCAGCTCTTCAAATTCCTTACAGTCAAACAGTAACTCCACTAACTCCACCACACTGCTAGTGAATAATGATTGCTCAGTACACGCAAGCGGGAATGGTATGTATGTCTCAATATAGTATTTCTCAAGCTAGTGTTTATTTTTCAAAGTAGTTTTATCCTTTAATGGCATTTTTGCTAAGCAAAGTGAATAATTACATATATGACTAGTAGATCAAAATGTGGTTCCCTTAGAAAAGAGAAAGTTCATTAATCCAAATTTATCTATTTTAGAGCAAATACTGGAATGACTATCTTTTTTTAAGATTTAGTTCTAAGTGCTGCCCAAAGACTTCAGTACTGTGCTATTTCTGTGAGAGCAGTACCTAAAATAGCCAACAAGACTATATCAATTTTTATTACATCTATAATCATACACATCTTCAACACTTTTAAACCTTCCTGTTTTTCACTTTTCATGTTTGTTAATTCTTCCCCACAGTGTGGCTGCCTTGTGACAGCACCCAAATCCCCATGAATATATCAAATACTGAAGGATGAACTGTGACCAGTATCGATGACCATATATATCACCAATATGTGGACAGATTATTGCTGCTGTGCCTCCTTTACTCATTAATTCTGACATTTCTAGCTAAAACTTCTGTTATATTTTCTTTCATAAGACTGGGCTGTTCGTTACTCATAAAAGCTTATCTATTTTTACCTTCTTTTGCTTCTTAATATATCTTTTGCATTTTTATAAAAACTTCAGTTCTGCTGGTATACTTTATCCTTCCATTAAGAATTTGCCTTGATTCATTGTTTTAGTACATTCGTTCTTTTCAAAAATGACTAATTCAAACAAATTTGTGAGGAGGTTGGTTCATACATCTACCAAATAGTTTTCCAACCTCCCACAAATGGCAGTTCCTGCTGGTTTGTCTAGACTTTTAAAATACAAATAGGATGACTCAAAATCAATGTTTCTCAACCTCAGGCACGATTGACATTTTGGGCTAGATAATTCTTTTTTGTGGAATTGGAAGATGTTTAGCAGCATCGCTGGCCTCTACCCACTAGAACCAGTGGCACCTCGACACCTGTTATGATAACCAAAAATGTATCCAGACACTACCAAGTGTTCCTTGGGGAGTAAAACTGCCCCTAGTTGAGAACCACTGCTGTAAATGATGAAAAACAGCTGCCATATGGCCTTAGCTCTTTACTGTCAATACCAGAAGGAAAGCTCTGGGCTCTGTGCCAAATAGGTATATCAGGAATGATTCAATGTAGGTAAACAGAGTAGAGGCAGTGGGAACCAAGGCTGATTGGTAAGTTAGTGTGAGAAAGCCCGCTGAAAGCAGAGAGATCAAAGCAGTGAGCTGGGCCATCAAGAGCCTTAGAATCACAACATGTGTTTGGGGCTCTTAACCCATAAACCAGATTTCTCCACACTCTAGAAAGAGCTCAGAGATAAAGCCTCACTTGCCTAGCCCTATCAATATGTTGTCATCCTCTGAGAAACTAGATTTGATGGAAGTAGCACATTTTGACACAGTTGTTTGACACAGCTATTTTTGCTGCCTGGCAATGAGGGTGGGTGGGGGTACATTTCAAGGCCACCAAAATGGCTGTGTCTAATAATGCATATTATGCATGTCAGCTAAACATTCCTCACTCCTTTAGTCCTCGCATTGACATCCAAGGTGGATGAGGAATGGAAGTGGCAATTTCAAAAAAAGAAGCTAGAAGTTTAATGGTTTGTTTATTATACTGGGTCAAATTGTTCTTGCACCAAAATGTCCTCAAGCCAAAATGCCTAAATCGGAACAGCTGCCTGAGACAGTTGCATGCCCTGTTTGAGCTGTGTCACAGATAGAGCTGTGTTGACCACATCCATTACCTAGTTTGCATGAACATGACATATTTCAGTGATGAACTACCTTAGAGGCTTGGGTACCGGCAGCCATCTCATTCAGTACATGGGGCCACAAGCTCCCAGTTGGGAAGTAATTCACATGTTGACTCCGTCACTTCTGAGCTGTGTAACCTTGGGCAGAGCACTTGGTATCTGACACCTTAGTTTCATCATCTGTGAAATGGGGATAATAATAGTACCTATCCCATAGGGTTATAAATGAGATAATACTTATGAAATGTTACTATCATTGTTATTATATGAATTATTATGTCACGAACTAACAAATTGGCTTATTATTCAAGCTTTCTATGTTGTCTCCCAATGGTATAATGGGCAGAAGGATGGTGGGAAGTAGCTAGACAATCCCAGTAGCTGTGCTCCCCTACAATTCAAGGCCTGCTTAGGGTGGGGATGGCCCAGGTCCAAACCCCAGTTCCCCTATGCCTGGCTGCTCCCTGTCTTGCACTCTTCAGTTGGAATTGGTGGTTTCTTCTTGTGAATCAGTCCTGTCCTGATTTAGTAGGAGGGGCTGGTTGAGTCTACAGTGATGATTTCTTCTTGCTATGACTGTTGTAGCTAGTTGCTCTGAGTTCTTCTGGTACCAAGTTTCATTTTATAGGAATCTAGGGAACTGAGAACCTTACAAGGTATATATGGGGATCTCTGCTAACCTTCACCTTTTGGGGGAGACCAAAATATTACCTTAGGCTATATTATATATATATGATACTACTTGAAGTCAATATATGTTCAACCAGAGTTAGGAAATGGACCTTTTAAAATATATTGCTTTGCTTGGTATTTTCACCATTTCATTAAAAAGAACTGCCATAGAGAACTGGTTTCTGAATCAATCTCCAATTTGTTATGCTTACTTTGAGTGGCCTTAGGGGAGGAATGAAAAATAAATAAAGTATGAATATGTATAATAAATATTTTTTTAAATAACCTGTTTTATATACACATACCTAAGAATAAAGTGACGTTGGTTTTTTAATGCTTTCTGTAGATACTTCATGCCATGGACTTTGTTTTTCCTTATGCAGGAAATGCTTCTACAGAGAGGAATGGGGTTTCTTTCAGTGTTCAGAATGGAGACGTGTGCCTTCACGATTTCACTGGAAAACAGCACGTGTTTAATGAGAAAGAAGATTCCTGCAATGGAAAAAGCCGTATGGCTTTCAGAAGGACTTCAAAGCGGGGAAGCTTACACTTTATTGAGCAAATGTGATTTCCTTTTTCTAAAACCAAAGTATGATGCTTGACAGTGTGAAATGTCCAATTTTACCTTTTACACAATGTGAGATGTATGAAAATCAACTTATTTTATACTCAGCAACCTCTGGAGGAACATAAGCTAATTGAGGGCAATGATTACTATTGGCAGAGGAAACCAAGACGTTATACCATGTTTTTTTAGACATTTGTGATTTGGTTTCTTATCCTTCGTTTTAAAAGAAGGTTGGTTTTAAATAACACACTAAGAATAACACTCCTGTCCAAAAAAAACCAAAAAAAGAGTAGTTAATTTTCAGTCACATTTTAAAGAGGCTAAGTTACTTTGATAACATATAAAGCAACCATTGACTTCAGCCTGTTGGTGAGTTTAGTTGTGCATGCCTTTGTTGTATATAAGCTAAATCCTAGTGACCTACATGTCAAAAATCTTACTTCTACATTTTTTTGTATTTATTTTCTACTGTGTAAATTTATTCTTTTGTAGAATCATGGTTCTGTTGTTTTTGTCTAACGTGGTAATTCAGAAAATCCTTGCTAGTGAATTCTAAAGCTCCTTTTAGAAATTATATGGGATGTGAAATACAGAAACCTCACTGAAATCAAGAAATAATGATGCCAGCCAGACTGGGAAAATGTAAGCAGACAGTGCCACAATTAGCTCATACAGTGCCTTTGAGCAAGTTAGAAAAAGGTACCCTCACTGGGCAGACCCAGCCCCATGGGCTCATGGTTTGGCATATAGAACGGGGGTCATATTTTAGCCCCACTCAGCCTCTTGGGTACATTCTTGTGCAGGGTATGACCTGTACAGCCATATGTGGCATCCCATACTCATACCCATCTCCTGACCTCATCCCCAATGATCAGATTATAGAATTTGCATCAAGATGTTTAGCTTTATCCCTTGGCCCCAGAGAGGGATGGAACTATCTAGACCATATGTCAGGAAAATCGTGAACGCAGAGATACACAATGAGATACACACACTGCCACTTCTCAAATGCCAAGAAAGAGCCTTTCAGAAGAGGGGAGTAGACTAGGATTACTTTTTAAAAGAGTTATATATAAGGAAAGAAATCATTGCTGTTCTTTAAAAGGCAACTGCATGATAGATATTGTTGATTGTTATAACTGGTACACTCTGGCCCAGCCAGAGCTATAATTATTTTTTAAAATGTGTCAAGTCTTAAAGAGTGTATAGTGACAAGAGGGCGCAGCTATTGGGAACAGTGAAGTGTCCTGCAATGCTATTGTTTCCATAGATATCAAACCTTGATTGCTCCTAGTTACATAGGGTCTCTCTTGCTTCCCACCTACCCTGCTTGGGCAGTGCCTCAAGTATGTCCTTATTAGGAACATTTCAAAACCCTTTAGTTAAGTCTTTCACTAAAGTTCCCTTGCATATATTTCAAGTGAATGTTGTATCCCAGACTAACCATAATAATAATATAATACATTTCTGTGAGGCTGATTTGTCTTTGCAATATTTCTTCTCTGCTTTATTTAATTGTCTTGTATTTATATGTTAAATCAACAAAAGTGTTAAAAATCGACAAACATGTTAAAATCAACGCAATAAATTTGCATTTAAGTTCTTTAAGTTTGGTGACTTTCACAAAGAGAAAACATTTGCAGTCTCTTTCCCTGGTGGCATGGCATGGCATGGAAGTGGTAGGACATGCCTGATTAAGACAAACACGACAGTGACATGCATGGGGAAGCAGCAGGCACCCTGTGACTATGAAATTAGAGCAAAGGTGGTTCTGCCTCATGAGATCAGCTTCTGAGGCCGCCTTTTCATTTTCTGTTTTCCTCTTTCAAGATTATCTCTTCAATGCATGCTGCCTTTGGCCTATAGCCAATGTACGAGACCCTATTCAGATCCCACCCAAGGATCTACTTCCTCAGCATCAATAGTAAGATCTCAGGAAGGTGAGGACAGGATTTGGGATTTCTGGATTGCTGGGTACCATGTGGGAGCCCCAAATAGGTGAACCTCCACAAGAGATTTCTGAGCAATCTCTCCTTCCAAGATCCTCTGCTCTCACAAAGATTCCAAACACCAAATCGATAAGATAATAATTGGGGAGGGGAGACCTCAGAAACCATCTTTCTAAAGCAGATTATATAACCAAAGTGTACATAAAGGATGTACAATGTACAGTGTCCTTTAATCCTCACCCCTTATTTTTCCTATTATGTTCTGTGCCTGGGCTATGGTCCTTAAGCCAAATGTCAGACAGAAGCAGGACAGGACAGAAAGAGAACATTCCTGAGAAGCATCCGCTTAGTATTTAAAATTGGTCCCACATTCTCAGGCTCTATTGTAAGGAGGCAGAGGTGGTACCAATATTAGGAGAGAAGGAGTGTAAGAGCAGTGGCCAGTATTTGAAGAAGTGTTTCCTCAGAACAGTGGGGAAGTTTTCTTTTGTTTTTCCAAAACAAACTGCAATCATTAATCCCACAAAGGAATTTTCATTGGCTTCAATGGGTAGCATCATGATTGTGCTCATCAAAAATGGTGAAACAGCTTCACTTGGGATACTGGGTTGTGTCTAAAGAGGTCACCTAGGAGGCAGGTCAGTTTGTTCAAGGCCATTTGGACAAAGATCTAATTTACTGAATGACCAATTCACCAAGTGAACTTGTTTGGTGTCATTTTGTCTCCATAACAGCATTTTGTTTTGTTTTGTTTTTTAGACAGAGTCTCACTCACTTGAGTAGAGTGCTGTGGCATTAGCCTAGCTCATAGCAATCTCAAACTCCTGGACTAAAGCGATCCTCCTGCCTCAGCCTCCTGAGTAGCTGGGACTACAGGTGCACACCATGATGCCTGGCTAATTTTTCTATTTTTAGTAGAGACAGGGTCTCATTCTTGCTCAGGCTGTTCTTGAACTCCTGAGCTCAAGCAATCCTTCTGCCTCGGCCTCCCAGAGTGCTAGGATTACAGGTGTGAGCCACCGGGCTCAACCATAACAGCATTTTTTAATTTTTTTTTTTTTTAAAGACAGATTCTCACTCTGTCTCCCAGGCTAGAATGCAGTAGTGTGGACCTGGCTCACTGTAACCTCGAACTCCTGGGCTCAAGTGATCCTCCTGCCTCAGCCTCCTGAGTAGCTGGGGCTATAGGTGCACTCCACCATGTCCAGCTAATTTTTTAAAAAATTTTTTTGTAGAGATGGTATCTTGCTATGTTGCTCAGGCTGGTCTCAAACTCCTGGCCTCAAGTGATCCTCCCACCTCAGCCTCCTAGGGTGCTGGGATTACAGGTGTGAGGCACTGCACCTGGCCTATAACAGCATTTTAAAAACTATTTAGTTTGTCTCTGCCTCAGCTCCTCACTGCTGCAGTAGGAGTCTGAAGAATAGGAAAAAGGAAAGACTGAATAGGCATAAGAACATAATCTTAACACGTTGACCGCCATGTGAGTTGTATTTAACTCAGGCTAGTTTTGAGCCCGGGCCTCATGAAGCAAAACCCTGCAATTGGTTCGTGAAAATCTCACTTGTGGATGTTCTTAGTGTTACCATTAATATTGACAATTTAATTCTAAAATGGATTGTGTTGCATGTAACTCATGCGCAGAAAATAAGAAATAACAAATTAAAAAGGATCATTTTGTTTTAATAAATCACCATGGCCCCAGGGAAAAAAATTTTTTTTTCTAGTGTGGCAATCAATGTGTTAAATGTGAAGAATTCTTATCAGTATATACTTTTTTCTTTTCACCTTAGTCTCCAGGTACTACAAGAAGGCAAGGCAGGCAAAAATTGAATATATATTTCTGCAGAATATATTATCTTAAATATATTTAATAAATATAATCCTTACTGTGATGAAATCTTACACTTCCAGGCATTTCTTCCTCTGTTTCTCTCTCAGTCTCAAAGTAGCCACTGGAAGCTGGAGCAGAGACAAATTCAACATTCCTTAAATGTTATAATGAAAAACAAAATGACCTCCAGTCAACTAAAATTATCATAGAAATAGCTAAATTTGGTGAAGTAATTATTTTTCAGTGAATTCATTCAGAATTGGCTCTCTTTTCTGGGTCAAAGATGGAATCCTTTTCTTTAGAGTCAAAGACCTGAACCCTCCAAGAGAAACATTTATTGGTTTCCCCCTTGGATGCTGACGTGTGTCTCTCTGAAAACTGCCTTGGCTGAAGCCCCTGTGGCAAGATGATGGGCAGACCCTCTCATTGGGCTCAGATAAGTCATACATGATGCCACTCCAGGGTCCAGGTCTGGCTTTTCATCTTTATGAAGATCATGAATTGGTTTCAGAAATGAATAATAACATTCCCCATGATATACCATAACTACTTCTTGACAAATATTTGAGAAATGACATGCTCACAGGTTTCTAGTGGGTGATAATCAGAGAAAGGTTTCATGGATATGGGGACCAAGAAATGGAAGTTTTGTATCTCAGGGAGTGAGGATACTAAGATACGAGACTGATTCTTATATAGCACAGCCTATTAGTCCAAAATGAATCACTAAAATTTGCTTGGAAATTTGAAAGCTAAAAAGTGGTAGCCTTCCTTTTTGGTTTTATCCCAGAATTTTGAGCATATTGAAAAACATAGCTTATATGATGATATGAATTAAAGCAGAGACCAACACCTAAGAATGTAGACTGGCCATACACCAAAAGAGTTGCATGTGTGTATAGCAGAATTAGCAAATAATGAGATCAAAAAGTTGAAAATGTTTCTATGCTAGGTGGAAATGCCAAGTAACGAGCAAAGATTTCATCAGTCGTTTCTCCCATAGCTGCAAAACATACTCCTGAAGAAGTACTCAATGGGAACAAAAGCTATAATAAAAAGAAGCAGTGATCCTAGCTTTTAGATGTAGAATACATGAAAATTCTAGTAAGAGTACATGTTCAGATTCCAAAATAGATATAATGATGATAACTTAATGTCTAGTTTTATTTATCCCTTAGACCATAGCAAATTCTTCATGGAGACGCATCAATCACATGGATTGTTGTGTAATTCAAGAGCCAATATTAAAAAAAAAAAAGGATGAGCTAATGAGGGGTTTTGTGCTTTAGTTGAGTCACAGAGTAAAGCCATACATTTATGTTCTGGAATATCTAACATGAATTTGGTTAAGGGCCAAACACAAGGGGACCCAGCTAAGCCGGACTGATTTTCATTCACCCACTCAATCAACACTAATTGAGTACTCAACACTGTACCAGGCATGGTAGAAGATACCAAAGACTGTTTTAATGAGTAACTTCCAATCCAGTTAGAAAAACATGCCTCATCCACATATGAAAACAAATAACAACAGGAGGTGATACATTATTGCCAAACTTTTCTATAAGCCAGGCTTGTACTAAATGCTTTATTTCATCCCCTTGATCTTCAGTCACTCTATGAGCTAGCTGCTGTTATTAAGCCCGTTTTACAGATGAGAACACTGAAGTTCAAACAGTTAAAACGACATGCCAAAGGTCACACCTTTGTAAATAGCAGAACTGGAATTTGAACTCAATTTGGACTAACTCCAAGTGCTAAGCTCTTACTAAAGAAATTGCTATAGGAAATCAAAAAATGGGATAGGCTAATAGAAGGGAAGAGGTGAGGTGACCCTTCAGGGAAAGATGGGCTTCAGATAGTCAAGAAGGAGGAGGAAGGGCTGAATGAATCAAGCATACAATAAATGCATGGGCACTAGCAAACAGCTTGCGGAAGCAATAATTCTGTTAGTCTAGCTGTCCATAGGAATTCATATGTGGGCTAGATTTTAGTGGACAATGAATACTAGGCTGAAGATTATGAACTGTAGGTAATTAGCAGCCACGAGAAACTGTAATAAATTCCTAGTTTCAAGTTGTAGACCTTAGGAAATGAACTTCGAGCCTGGTCGGGGAAGCGGCGCCCGGGTGGCTAGGGGTCGCAGGCGCCGGGAATGTAGCTGGGGGACCCTGTCCGGGTCTTCCCCTTTCCCTTCCGGGGGGGCCCCACTAGTCGGGATCCACTTGGCGGCAGAGACGGGACCAGGGATGGCGGTAAGATCTTGGCCCGTGGAGGGGCACCCAGGCTGCCGCGGTGGGCGGGCCTCTTTCTCTTGCCTAGGGTGGGATTGGCGCCCGCAGGGAAGCGGACTCGTGCCCGGCCCAGAGGCGGGTTCTCTTAGGCTACTGCAGGCCGCCTCCTTTTTCTTCCCCCGCCCCGGGCCGCGACTCTAAGAGTTCCGCTCTCTGGGGAGGCGGGGCCAGGGTGGGTCTAGGGGCGAGGCTGTAAGCTCCTCCCCAGTGAGTGGGCGGAGCCTCCGGCGGAGCGCTTGTCTTACCTGTATCCCTCAGGGTTCCACTCCAAGGGTTCCACTCCGCGGCAGGGGCGGGTGGGAGGGAGGCGGGCCAAGGGCATCCAGGTGGCCTCGGCGGAAGGGCTCGTTTCTGCGGCCTGGGCTGCGGTTGGCGGCCAAGTAGGGAGGGAAGGGGCTCAAGGAGACAATCTGGTTCCCGCCTGGATCTGGGTTCTCCTTGGCTCCTCTGGGAGGAGCTTTTACTTCCCCCCTCAGGCGCGACTTGGAGGATTCCGCGCCGCGGTGGGGGCGGAGCAGGGGGCGGGGCTTAGTCCGGCCTTCGTGGGCTCCCAGGCGGCTGGGGCTGGTGGGCCTCTTTCTGCCACCCGGGGGCCTCCTCACCACCACCTGGACACAAGAGAGGCTCGGCAGGGGCGTCCTCGCCCCACGCCCAAAACCCAGGTTCCCTCATCTCCTGAGAGGCCGCCTGCGACCCGCGAGCGTCGAGAGCTCCGCGGCCCTGGTCGAGGCGGAGCCGCCATAGCGCCAGCCCCCGTCTCCGCCCCCGCGCCTCCCAGCCGTGCGAAACTCTGGTTGGCTTGCTTTCCAGTCTTACTTTGGGTGTATCATTTTGAAAAATCTCGACTTCTTGCCCAGCCCCTTCCCAAGAACTGACAGAGGCTGTGTTTGGGGACCAGGCCCTCTTGGCGGCTGCAGCCCCGGCGTCCCGCCTCTACACAGCAGGTCGAGTGTCCGGGCCCGGGAGCACTGGAGAGATGCGGAGCAGGAGCAACTCCGGTGTCCGCTTGGACGGGTACGCGCGGCTAGTGCAGCAAACCATCCTGTGTTACCAGGTAAGGAGGAACCACCCCGAGGGAACGTTTAGAACTGCCCTCTCCTGTCACTCATTCTCCTCCCCAGGCCATTGTCCCCTCTTGTGACCTGAAACTTTACAATTAAGAGGTTTCCTATTTGAATCCAGTCCTTGCTAGCCAGTGGTTACCTCCCCATTCTCCTTAAATGTCAGGGGACCTAACGGCTGCTGTGACTACTCTTCACAGAATTCTTTGGCCATTGTTCAGGATCCAAGACAGAATCGAGCCCCCTTGGTGTCCTGTGTACAAAATGCGTCTTTTGCGTTGACTCTGATTTTTTTTTTTTTAAATCGAGAGAAGAGGTGTGTGTAGGTTGGACAGAGCACACTGAATGAGGACGGTGAACTCTGGACTGTGAGGACAGTAGACAGGAGTGAAGAAGCTCCTGAGCTTTGCATATGACTCGGGAGTTTGGAGTGACTGCTGCTGTCCCTCTCATGAGTGACCTTGTTAGAGACGCACCTCTGAGAGCCTTAGGGCCTACTCTGGTTGCTATTTTACAGATTAGAAAACTGCAAGGCTAAAAAGGTTATTGCATGTAGCAGGCTCAGACCCAAAGGTAGGTCATTGTCTCCCAAGTTCAAGAGGTCCTATGAAGCTGTCCATGTATTCCGAGGTATGAATATGCCTGCTGTATTACTGAGCCAAAGTTATGTGTGGGTCCATCATGTAAGACCACTGAACTATTTTTATTCCTAGTGAAGGCAGCAGCTATGTTCTTTGCCCTCAATCAACAGCAACTATTTATAGGGCCTTCAGAGTCAAAGAAGGAAGTGGCATTTGGGGGTTAGAGGCCTGACTTGCAAAGTGGTCACTCCCAAGCCACTGACCATTTTCCCTTCTTAGCTAATTTCTTAGCCTTGTTTCCTCTTTCAGGAAATATATGTTGTGCACCTGTTACATGCAAAGCACTCTACAAAGTGCTGGGCTTACAAAGAAGAATAAATGATTGTAGTACAGTGACATTTATGCTTAGGGTATAGGTCCAGAGTTCCTTATCTGAAAACCTCTTGGGGCCAGATGTGGTTTGCCAGTCAGAAATGTTTGGCTTTTAGAAAGGTAACATGTATATAATGTACTATATTTACTATAATAACTGTACCCAAATCTGGGCAAAAACCCTTAATCAAGCACATTATTATTTTTACATTGGAGTATGAGTATTCACATTGAGTGAGATAAGTAAAAACTAAAAAGAGTTTCCCATTAGTTCAGGTCATCTTTTGCCACCAGAAGAGCTTGCTTGCAGACTTAAGAAAACACTTGAGATTTTCAGAGCTTACTGACTTTTGAGATTAAACATGAAGGACCGTGGTCTTTATTTTGGGAACTTTTAGAAAGGACCCCCCCCCCAACCCAGTTTATGGAGGCAGGAGAGGATTCCTGGAAAAGGTGATGTTCAAATTGAGAGTTAAAGTAGGCAGGCAAATGGAGGTTATTTTTTTGCCCTCCTCCTTAGAATATAATTAACATCTGTAAAGTGTTTTAAAATCCAAGTTGAAAAGCCTTTCCCTTTGTTACTGTGATGGAAGGGGCTCTAAGGAATGCTGATGAAGCTTAGTTCTTTCATCAGACCTGGGTTTAAAATCCCCAGGTCTGTCTTGAAAGACATGTGTAACCTTTATTCATCCTTTCTGAGTCCTTGTCCTCATCTGTAAAATGGGAATAATAATACATGCTTTCACTGAGTATGTGTAAAGAAAAAATTAGTGCCTAGTACATTGCCTGGCATCTAGGGTGCAATCAGTAAATAACAGGTGCTCTTATTGGGGTTATGACTCTCATATAGGCCACACGTTAGTACCCAGGCCTAGTGGTCCTTGTATGACTATTGCTACCCACAATGCTCCCTTTCCTGAAAGCTCTGATACAGCTATTAAGTGCTTTCTAGTCCTTGAAAATAATTATGTCTCCCCATTGATGCAGTGAGATCTTAAATACAGAGACCTCATCAGTTCTGTTCCTTTGCATCAAGCAGTGCCCAGATGCATGAAAGGTACCCTTAAGTCCTTGTTGATAAAATACTTCCTGTAGGGTTTGAGCCAGCCATTGGTCCAAGCTTGCCTTCCCTCAAGAGCAAAAGAACTGTCTTCTCATTAAAGCAAAGCTGCTGGGTTGGACTTTCCTCCCTAACATTTTAATGATTAAAAAAAGGTTGTCTGAGCCTTTAGTTGTATTTATTTTGGGGGTAGTTGGTGAGAAGCCCTTGTATTTGCCCTCTTTTCCCCTTCCTGGCTGCATTGTCAAGCTCTTCTGGCTAACCAGAACACTCCAAGCACAGTTTTGCTGGGAAATCCCATGAGTCTACAGGTGCAGAATTGCACCCATTTGCCCCAACAATCAGTCTTCACAGTTGTAGAGCCCTAACTCATTCCTGGGCTCCTCATCTTCTCTGAGTGATCTTAGGCAGGTCACCTAACCACTCTGTAACAATGCATGAGCAATGTTATATATATTTATATATATAAATAAAAAATGAATGAGTGAGACTAATGGTTTCTAAAGCTTATGCTGTATCTCCCCATCTTCTTTAGATATGTGCAGATGTTTCTGAACTCTGTTTCTGATTTGCTTTTTAAATTAAGATCAACTTATATTGATTTCAATTTTTAGAATTCATTCCGTGTTAAATATGTCAAGCTAGTCATCGTTCTTCTGTTAGAGGCAATAGTTTGTTCATATCAGCTAGCATCTCAACTAATTCCTTTTCCTGTATCTGTGAAAGAGAAGAACTTTTCCCATTAGTCATTTACCAAATGTACTTGCTGCTAAATATTATTTAAATCTAAGGCAAAGAAGGAAAGAACTATGTTTATAAAAGGGTCCTTTTGCAGGTTTGATTTTGTAAATATATATTCTAGGGAGTATCTTTAAAAATTTGTTGGTTTTAAAAAATAGAAATTTCTAGATTATTTTGGCTCAGGTAAGAAATATTAACTTTGTACACTTCTTCACTAACAGCTCTGCTTGAAGACTCATTAATAAAAGTGTGATAAAAGTCGTGATAAAAGAATATGAATCAGAAAAATAATGATCAAGGCAGTGTTCACTGTAACTGCAGATTATTTGGTATGATAAAGCAAATAACAGACCAGGATAGTAACTAAATATTGCTATTTAATGGCAATGGAATTTAAAATGAGAAGAATGGAATAAATAAAACACGAAGCATGGAACAAATAGTAATGGTAATAAAGAGGAATTTGGGAGAGGATTAAAAAATGTATAATTTGACGGGCGTAGTGGCTCACGCCTGTAATCCTAGCACTCTGGGAGGCCGAAGTGGGTGGATTGCTCGAGGTCAGGAGTTCGAAACCAGCCTGAGCAAGAGGCAAGACCCCGTCTCTACTATAAATAGAAAGAAATTAATTGGCCAACTAATATATATAGAAAAACTTAGCCGGGCATGGTGGCGCATGCCTGTAGTCCCAGCTACTCGGGAGGCTGAGGCAGGAGGATTGCTTGAGCCCAGGAGTTTGAGGTTGCTGTGAGCTAGGCTGACGCCACGGCATTCAAGCCCAGGCAACACAGTGAGACTCTGTCTCAAAAAAAAAAAAAAAAAGTATAATTAAGTATTGGAAAATAATAATATGGCAGAAAAATAGGAAGAGACTAGAGTTAAAGCATTCTAAGGCCTTTATCACATTAAGAAGGAAAAAGGAAAGAAGAAGGAAGATAAAGGTATTATTGTCTCTTTTAAGTCAAGAGTTCATATGGAAGCATTCCATTAATATAAATGAATATATAACTTTAAAAATGATAGAGCAATAAAGAAAACTAATCTTCCAAGAGAAGGAAAGAAAAAGGTACTTGAGGAGGGTGGGAAGTGAAAAAGTATGGTAAATATAAAGGAAAAATAAGATGTGAATAAGTCCAATTATTAGTAATCACAATAAAGATAATCTTTAAATTAGCCAGATAATGAAAATTATTTTAAAAATTTAAAAATTTGATTGAATATACATACACAGAACTATGCACCCAACCAATAGAAAATACTTATTTGTTTCCACCTCACAAGGTATATTTTTCAAAAATTGATGACAAAGTATAAAGGAAGTCTCAAAAAATACTGAAGAATCAACGTTATGCACACCACATTTTTTTTTGGCCAAAATGCAGGAAAATTAGAAAGCAATGACAAACAACTGCTAAAGCCCCCCAGATATATTTGGAAACTTAGCAAGCCTGCTTCTAAATATGTCTTGGACCTAAAAAGAAATTATCATGGAAATTATGAGATAGTTAGAACTGAATGACAACAAAATCATTCCAAATAAAATTTACGGGATACAACTAAAGTGGGATTTATAGTGAAATTTATCTCCTTAAATGTATATATTAGAAAAGAAGAAAAATTTTAAAATTAATGAATTCATGATCGAGAAAAGGACAACAGAGTACATCCAAGCAAATAGAAGAAAGGATATAATGATAGGAGTAGCAATTAATGTACTATAAAACAGATAATAAAGATTGGCACAACCAAAAGCTGATTTTTTTAGAAGACTAGTAGATAGGCAGACTTCTGGCAGGATTGATGAGAGAGGAACAGGGGAGGAAGAACAAATATCCGATACAGTAGCCCCCCCTTCTTCATGGAGGATATGCTCCAAGACCTCCAGTGAATGCCCAAAACCACAGATAGTACCACCCTATACATACTATGTTTTTTCTTATACATATCTGTGGTAAAGTTTAATTTATATATTATGCACAGTAAGAACAGTAAGAGATTAACAACAACAATAATAAAATAGAACAATTATAATACTATAATAAAAGTTATGTGAATGTGGTATCTCTCTCTTTCTCTTTCAAAATATCTTACTGTGTGTAATATTTTCAGACCGCAGTTGCAGTTGAACGCGGGTAACTGAAATTCCAGAAAGCAAAGCCATGGATAAGGATGGACTACTATATTAGGAGTAAAATGGAAAAATACTATGAATGATATTTGACAGTAAATTTGAAAAGAA